AAGGTGGTGCGATTTTTGCCCTAGTACAATGGTTTGATATAAAAATATAGAGCTCCCTTTATCTGACTTTGAACTGAAGTTTATAAGCGCCTTCTGCTGATGGCTGAAAGATAACTTTCTAATTCCATGTCATTCAGCCAAACGTAGAGCTTCAAAGTGGTCAGTTTCAGGTTTAAAATTAATTAATTAAAGATTAATTAATCCCTGGCTCACTTGTTTTAGTTATCTCCTATTCACCCTGTTGGTAAGGGAAGGTTTCTGCTCTAGGGTTATGGGGATGGTCAAACACATGACATGGGATACTGGATAGATGAGATCAATGGCAGTTTACTAGTCACATATACTCACAGCCCAGGGAAGTGGACAGTGCAAGCAATGCAGGGCCTCAGAGGAGTTACATTTGGGAACGGAGTGAACAACCAGGAACCATGGAGACAGGCTTTGTAGTATCAAGACAGTGTGATGTCCCCTCATTTCTGCAGGAGAATGTGATTGGTTCATTTGAATGCTTTTGTGGTCTGGCAGGGAACTGAAACCACTACTCAGGTATAGCAGGGATTATACTTGGTCCCTTTGATAAGGAAGGTCACTGGACTAGAAGACCTTATCTGTGGGAACAGAGTGGAGAGGGGAACTTGTAATTAAGTCATTCAGGGCCCTCCTGATTTTACCAGATAATATTGGACCTTCATTTTAGGCTTTACAGCACACTTTTCTTCTCCTTCATTCCTCTCAGAGAGATGATGTAAGTTCCTGGGGGTCCTTATAAATCATCCTAGCAATTGAGGAGGAGCGATTACCTCACCTATCCATTGTGGTTTATCTGGTCCAACCCCAGATCTCTTCTTACTGGCCTGATGCCCAGCACCCCATACGGACACTGTCTTGTGGAGGCGTAAGCACTCCCTGAGTCCTTCCCCAATGCTCTAATTACCTGCTAGTCTCTGGGAGCCTGCCTCATTTCCCTCGGTGCTAGTATGTCCCTCAGTTACATCTAATCTCCTTTTTTTTTGATGTCTGCTTTATGCAAGACTTGGCCTAAGCCCATGGAAGATGCAGGCATAAGGTCCCCTCTGTTTCAGGATAGCCTCTCCTCAGTGTATCCCATGTCAGCATCTTTTCTTAGGTATCCACTAGATCTAAGTTCTAGAAACAGTCTTTCCTTGCTTACTAAACTCTTATTTCCTTTTGGGCAAAAAAAAGGTCATTGTAATTTATCATGCATACTTCCTTCTCTACAACTTATAGTGTTAATTTCATGCACTAGTCTTCAGGATTTTTGGTTCTTGATATGAAAAACCAAGTTTTGGTCAAAACAAAACAAAAAGCTTCCTCTGTCAAACCCCAAAATTTTCTTATTTAGCTTAAAATTTGGTTTTACATATCAAGAATTGCCTCTGCTATTAGTCTTAAAATAATCAATTCAACAAATAATCTATATCTTTGTTCTAGAGCTACAGCGGAACTGCCCAATATAGTAGTCCTATGTGGCTATTTAATTTAAAACCTTAATTAAGATTGGCTTAGTTGACATAAAATTTAAAATTCAACTCCTCAGTCACAGTAGCCACATTTCAAGTGCTCAACAGCCACATGTGGCTAGTGGTTACCCTATAAGACAGTCAAACTTAGAACATTTCCACATTGCATAAAGTTCTATTGGACAGTGCTAGTCTAGAGTATATCTACTTTTCCCTTGAGGGCTGTGACTTGTGAGTAAAGGGCGATGTGTAAAGAAAGAGGGGTGAGGGATGAGGTCATTGAGAAAGAAACCTATGTATATCTCAAAATGTCCTGCTGCCGTAACTTTGAAGAAAATTTTGAGCTTTAGAAGCATAAATAACTGCTTTTCTTTCCCTCCGTGTTTTGGTAGAAGAACGTTTTTGGCAGCTGGAAATGCTTCTGCCTACCAGTCTGTCACAGATGGCATGTATCACGGATTGCCACCTCTGAGCAATTCTCTCGTGAAGAGCATTTTTGCTTCACAGCTCAGCCTGCCCCAGCCACTAGATCCACAGAGCCTCCAGGTATGTTGAGAGGTATTTTTATACCTATAAATGGTGTATTGTACATCGAGGATTTTGGTACTTTGTTTCCATTTGGTTTAAATTTTGTAGGGGCTCTCCATGCTCTAGTGCTCTTTAGCCTTGCTTGGCTCCCCTTCATTGACACGGGAGAGCAGCCTGGGCTCTGTTATTCATAGTCAGAGTCTTCCGCCTCCAAACTACTCAACAGGAAAATTGAAGCCATAGCTCACAGCTGGTGGCAAAACCAACACTTGATATTTTCTATTTGATAAATAATAATGACAGCAACTATACTACATAAATTAAGGCCAGCATCTGAGTTTTGAAGAGCCAGGATTACAACAGGCATTATCAAATGTTATCCTGGCAACTATTATTGCCCCTGGGTACCAACAGTATTACCCACCTTCCATAACTAAAAGCTTAAGGTTCTGGCAGGCCAGACATCAGACTGCTGGGCAGTCATGGCAGCACTAGATCATAAATTCTATTGATTATCTATGGCCGTATAACAAATTACCCCAAAATTTAGCAGATTAAAACAATAAATATTCATCATCTCATATAGTTTCTGAGGCTCAGGAATCTGGGAAGAGTATATTGTGTAGTCCTGGCTAATCTCTCATTAGTCTCCAGTCAAGGTACTGGCCCAGGTTGTAGTCATCTCACGGAGATGAATCTGCTTCCAAGCAGGGCTGTTGGTTGGCATCAGAATATCCACTTCTGATCTCATTCATGTGAGCTTCTCCACAGGGCTTCCTCACAACATGACAGATGGATTCCTCCAGGGCAAACAATTCAAGAGACAACAAAAGACAGAACCCAAGGTGGAAGTCATAGTCTTTTTATTACCCAATTTCAGAAGTGACATCCCAACATTTTTGCCATATTTTTTTGTTTTTTAAGATTTTACTTATTTATTCATGAGAGACAGAGAGAGAGAGAGGCAGAGGGAGAAGCAGGACCCATACAGGGAACCTGACGTGGGACTCGATCCCGCGTCTTCAGGACCAGGCCCTGGGCTGAAAGCGGCGCTAAACCACTGAGCCACCCAGGCAGCCCATATTTTGCCATATTTTATTCACTAGAGGTGGGTTACTAATTTTTGTCCACACTCAAGGGGAGAAGACTTAAATTCCACCTCTTAATGGAAAGAGTATCAAAGAAGTTAAGGACATATATTTTAAACCACCTTACAAACCCAGGTCTTCCGACTTTAATAGCTCCAGCTTAGTGTTTTTACGTTACAAAGCTAAGCCAAGTAATACAATATCAACCCCCTGTAAGTCCCATACTCTTACCTTCCCTAGCAATAAGACAGTTACTCTTATCCCAAGACTTGACCCTCACTTAGTCCCAGAAGACAGGAATTGGGCCTATCCCTACTGCCTTTGCATGTTGCCTCAGATTAGGTAGATCCAAGTGTCCTGGCTTCCTGCTACCTGAATCAACTCCAACTCTAGGAATTGTTTGAAATCAGTACCTAGTCTGCCAGAGTAGAATGGGGTCAGATGGACAGGCCTACTATGTCCAGGGCTGCATGTGGTGCCATAAGTAGTAGGGGACGGCTTAGCTATTGGACAGTGATATGGAGAAAGCAGAGGCCCACATGTTAATGTTGTGGCATTGGCTTTGAGTTGTTACCTACAACTGGAGTACAACGGTGATGAAGGAAAGCATTTTAAAATTCTTAATACTGAGAACATTTGAGTGAGTTTACTTTTGTTGATCATAAGTGTGTCCCACTGTTATAGTATCCTGGAACTTCCAAACATTGGTGCTGACCAGTAAACTGAAATCTTAAGTACCCTTGTATGTTTAGCCAGATCCTGAAAAAAAAAAAAAAAAGAAAAAAATTATTACTCTCTCTTCTACATCATCAGAGATTTTCTATCAAGAACTATGTCTACATAGTAAATAAATCATCTCATGGTGTTTTGGAGTACAGACATAGAAATCCTGTTCTTATAAGATGTTTATTATTTATGGACACAGTATAGCATTGTTGTGTTTCTTATTTGGTTCTTTTAGGCATCTATGCTATTCCCTTGGAGAGCATTTCTGGAAGATGGAGGACTGTTTCCGGTTATGAGTAACAGCCCAGATACCCTAGAATACAATATGCAGGTAGGATAGGTCTTCCCACTTGTCACAGAACTGAATGAAGACTGCAAAACAGGCGTCATTGGGTCCATAGGTCAGTGGTAAATAATTTATGAGATAAGCAGAGGTGTTTGATTATGAAGCTGTAAACCCAGTGCTACAAGGTGAGTCATGCTTTCTTATGACGGAAGAGAATCATGCTCTTACCAAGTATGGGCCTCTTTCATGGCCTCAGCTGCAATTTCCATGGCCAGTAATGATCTGGGAAGATCTCTGAGCCTCTTAGAGAAACACCTAGGCTGGAAGCTCGGGGCGGGGGGGGGGGGGGTGCGGTGTGACCAGGACCCTGGCCTGCCTGTGAACAGTGGTAGGAAGAGAACCCATTAAGCACAATTCATAAGGAGAATTTCTTTGGATTATTTGTTTCCCCTGATTCCCTAAGCAAGTATCATTGTGTTCTCATTTTTAAAAATAGAAAAGTATTAAGAACAACATGAAAATTAGTCATAAATTTGCTTCAAAATAATATGGAAGTGGGGAGGGATAGGGATAGGTACAGGACTGGCTATAGGTTGATGATTCTTGGGGCTAGGTGATGGGAACTATGCTGTTTGCTTTTGCTTATGTTCAATATTAAGTCAGTTTGGATTTTAAAAAATATTTTATTTATTTATTCATGACAGACACACAGAGGCAGAGATATAGGCAGAGGGAGAAGCAGGCTCCCTGCCAGAAGCCTGATGCAGGACTTGATCCCAGGACTCTGGGATCACGACCTGAGCCAAAGGCACATGCTCAACCACTGAGCCACCCAGGGGTTCTTACATCTGTACTTTTAAAGAAAAATTGATATCATACTATACATTTACCATGTACAGCTGCCACTGTAAAGTGCTGGGAGACTTGACTTCCATACAAAGCCAAAAGTCTAAGATGTTCAAGGAGGACTTTGAGCTAGAAATGTTGCTCTGATTTTTATGCATTTACTAATAGTTGAGAAGGCAGGGCTTGTAAACATAATTATCCCTGGTTTTCTCCCCAAAATCATGTAAAAGAGATACAAAGAAATCTTCAAAATGAGTGTGTTGTTCGTTTTTATTTTTAGCTGTGCCTCTGTAGGCTGAGTGACCGTGACCTCAAGGTGGCTCATGGAGAGCTGGTGGGCATGCGACTGCTTTTGGAAGATGTACTTCTGAGCAGCTATCATATGATCTTGGAGGATCCCTCCAGACAGCAAGCCACACTGGACAAAAACACTCAGGTACTCTTGGTGCACAGGCCATATAACCAGCCAGTGCTGTATTGTACTAAAGGCCCTTCCTATCTGGGGGATGGACCAGAGAGCCACCTCTGTCCAACAGCCTTTCCCAGTGAGTCCCAGTACTATGCGAAGGCTGCTTCGGAGCAGCAATGGAGCAGGAGTCACCTGTGATCCGTGGTACATTCATTTCTTTTCATTTTAAAAACAGAACAAAGGTGGGAGGGCCATTGAAACCAAATGGAACAAATCATCTAACTAGCTGGATTTCCTTATGAGTCACACACATTTAAAGTTGGAAGACACATTTAGAAGTGGAGTCGGAAGGACTGGAGAGGTATGAGAGAGGACCCTGGGTGGACATCTCCAGCCTGGGCTCTTGTCCTCATCACTCAGCTAACCTATGGACTCCTAAGCAAGCATTCCCTCCTCTGGACTTGTCCCTCTGAAGCTGTAGGGTACCAAGAGCCCCTAACCCACCTGGTATCATAACTGGAAACAGTTCTGCTCATATCTAGGAACCAGACAGAGGCTTGTCTGGACACCGAATAAGCTAGTTGGTGCCCCTATCTGAAGAGCCTCCTCTTCCGAGCCAGACTTTCTGGAGAGATCTGCAGCAGCCACTTCTGATTCCTTACCTTTAATCTGCTCCTCAGAAACTACAATTTGTCATCACTGAGACCACTCTCATCAAGAGCACCATGGTCCTTGTCACAAAATCCCCTGGATACTTTTCAGTCCCCTCCAACCTGACCCCTTGTCAGCATTTGACACAATGTGTCCTTGCAGCCTCCCTGCTCCTGGCTCCCAAAGTACAGCTCCCTCCTAGTTTTCCTCTGGCATTGGTAGCAGGCCTTCTCAGACTTCCCCACAGACCCTCCTCTGCCTCCTGCCCCCCTCTTCCTCTCCCAATCCCCAATGTGTTATCTTTTAGGCTCTGTCCCACTACTTCTACAACCAGATCTGCATTTTTACTTCCACAACGTTAGCTGCTTGTGTCTTTGCAGACCCCTTCCTCCATTAAAAAAAAAAAAATCTTAAATCATTATAGTCTACAACTGTGTTAATATAAAAAAATTAATATCATATGTTAAAATATTTTTATTCAAACTCAATACCCTTTCTTTTCTGAGTTTAAAAGAATTAAAACACTTTGTTGGACCTAGGCACTGTGCATTTTGTGTCTAGTCAGTAAGGTTCCCCTGAATACTATTAACACAACTCTTGGCTATGACTGAGGTCTTTTCAGAGCGCTTTGGTAGTTACTTGTTTCTCTTCTCTTCACAATGATTCCATGAAGTAGGTACTTTCATTATTCTCATTTTACAGGTAATGCTGAAGCTCAGAAAGGTTAAGTGGTGTGCTCAAAATCACATACCTAGAAGGAGAGAAACCCAGATTCCAATTTAATAGCCTGGCCCTGGAGCTCCCTTCTACTCTTATTTGCTATGTTTGTTCCACTTCTCAGCCTCTCCCTAGGCAAACTCACCTGCTTTTATAACTTTGATGACTTTACACATGATGACTCATGTGATGACCATCTACGTGTCTTGTCCAAATATAAATCTTCTCAGATTCATGCATTCAACATCCTTGTCCCATCCCAGAGACCTTGTGTCCCAAACTGGGCTTATTTCACTGCCCAAAACTTGCTCCTCTTTCCATATTCCCTGTCAGTTAACTACCACCTGTCCAGTTGTCCAAGCCAGAAAATCTGGACACTCATCTTTGATCTCGCTCTATCATACCCCACAATCAGACACTAAGTTCGACTATCCTATTACTTTAATATCTCTCAGGTTTGTCCACTGTTCCCCATCTTCCATTACCAACCCTCAATCAGCATCATCTCCTGATGTTAGGCTATGAGCATGACCTCTGATTGGACTCCCTGTATTCACTCTTGCCTTCTTCCAGTATATTCACCAGGGTAATATTTTTAAATGCTAAACCTGATTATGTCACTTCCCTCTTATAACCCTTCAGTGACTTCCAAATGTCCTGAGAATACAATCCAAGTGTCCTGACCCACTGATATCTCTATCCTCAACTTCTTTCATTTTATCAAATGTACCATGCTGCCTCTCCTCAGTAACTTTGTGCAAGCCAGTCCCTCTAACAGGAAACCTCCTTCTCCTAACTCTCCACTTCATCATCTGATTTATCCTTCAGGTTTCACAGGTTTATCACCTATTTATCCTTCAGGTTTCAACTGCCAAATCACTCTTTTAGAAGCTTTTTCAGATTTTCCACCTTTGAGCTGATGCCCCTCTGTGCCAGTTAGGGTGCACTTGCTCTAAGTAACAGGTTGTCCTACTGGCCATGACTTAAACTAGGAAGGGTACTGATCTTTTAAAACAAGTCTAGGAGGAGGCAGTTCAGGTTGGTACAGTCACTCAGTTCGGTGTAGGCCCCCACTCTGCCATCTTGGGTATGTCGCCACATGTGTCCTTCATCTTTGTAAGATGAAAACAGGAGCCAAAAAGCTTTCTCGTTAAAGGGCTTTATCTTTTTACCAAGGAAGGAAATCCTTTCCAGAGCCTTCTAGTAGATTTTCCTTGTGTTCTACTGGCTGAAATTGAGTCATGAGTCTACTTCAGGCAAATTAGTGGAAAATGAAGTGTGTTTAGATGTGCCATCTAAGTTCCACAACAGAATTACATGTTTCACTCAGACGGAGCATTTGCAAAGTAAGCACTGGCACCAAATAGTACCAAGATCAAGAAGCATGCTGGGCCCTTTGGGCTCTCGATTTACTATTTCCTGGCCCTGTTTTTTTTTTTTTTTAAGATTTTATTTATTTATTTATTAATGAGACAGAGAGAGAGAGAGAGAGAAGCAGAAGGAGAGAGGGGTGCAGGCAAACGGAGAAGCAGGCTCCATGCAGGGAGCCTGATGTGGAACTCGATCCCGGGTCTCCAGGATCACGCCCTGGGCTGAAGGCAGGTGCTAAACCACTGAGCCACCCAGGGATCCCCCTCCTGGCCCTGTTTTTTGATGGATTGCCAGCCTTCCCTGACATCCCCACTATTCCCCTCCTTCATTCTTTATCCTGTCTCCTGTTCCTTCTTCCGTTCTCTGAAACACTTAAGAAGACTTCTCTTTTTATGAATATATAAACAAGGTAAGTTTGCCTTAAAGTTATTATTTATTTTAATTCGTTTTATTTCACAATTTGTTTTTAAATATTCATAGGCAATAGAAAGGACTGGAATTTATCTATTTCTTCTAGGAAGTTCAATTTATTTGTTTATAATTGTTAATAATTGTCTCATGATTCCCTGTATTTCTGTGGTATCAGTTGTACCTTTTCTTTCATTTCTGATTTTATTTCTTTCAGCTCTCTCTTTTTATCTTGGTGAGTCTAGCTAAAGGTTTGTTAATTTTGTTTATCCTTTCAAAAAAACAGCTCTTCATTAATTTTTAAAATTATCTTTTTGGTCTATTTCATCTATTTCTGCTCTGATCTGTATTATTTCCTTCCTTTTACTAACTGGGCTTTGTGTCCCTTAAAACCCATGTTTCTTATTGATTTTTCTGTCTAAATAATCTATCAGTTGATGTAAATGGGGTGTTAAAGTCCCCTACTATTATTATATTGCTATGAGTTTCTCCCTTTAGGTCTCTTAATATTTGTCTTATATTTTTTGGTGCTCCCACATTGGCTGCATATATACCTAGAAATTTTTTATCTTCTTGAGGTTAATCCCTTATCGTTATGTAGTGCCCCTCTTTGTCTTTTATTATAGTCTTTGTTTTAAAATCTACTTTGTCTAGTATGAATATACCTACACCAGCTTTATTTTCATTTCCATTTGTACGGAATGTCTTTTTTCCATCTCTTCACTGAAAGTGTGTGTCTTTACCTATGCCTTGCTTTTCTATCCATTCAGCAACTCTATGCTTTTTTTTTATTAGAAAATTTAGTCTGTTTGCATTTATTTTAATCATTGATAGGTAAGTACTTACTGCCATTTTGTTAATTGTTTAGTGACTGTTTTTGTAGTTCCTTTCTGTTCCTTCCTTCTTCTCTTTCTTCCCTTCTGGCTTGATGACTATCTTTAATGTTCTGTTTAGATTCCTATCTCATTTTCTTTTGTGTATTTAATACAGGTTTTTGCTATGTAGTTACTATAAGATTCACATACATCATACTGTGTACATAACTGTCTCTTTTAAGTTGATGGCAACTCATATTTGACTATTTTCCAAACTCTACATTTTAACTGCCACATCCCTTCATGTTCTATGTTTTTGATGTCACATTTTATATCTTTTTATGTTCCGTATCTCTTAACTAATTATTGTAGTTTTAGTTAATTTTACTTTTGTCTTTTAACCTTCATAGTAGCTTTATAAATTAACCCATTACCTTTACTATATATTTACCTTTCCCAGTGAGATTTTTACTTTTGTGTGGTTAATAATGCCATTTCTTTTCTGCTATAAGACATCCCTTTAACATTTCTTATAAGGCCAGTTTAGGAGTGCTAAACTCCTTTAGCTTTTGTCTAGAAATCTCTATCTCTTCTTCAATTCTGAATGTTAACCCTCAGGTAGAGTATTCTTGGTTCAAAGAATTTTCCTTTCAGTACTTTGAATATCTCATGTCACTCTCTTCTGGCCTACAAAATTTCTGCTGAGAAATCTGTTGATTATAGTGTTTTCCTTGTATGTAACAATTGTTTTTCTCTTGCTACTCTTAAGATTCTCTCTTTAAATTTTGACACTTTAATTATAATGTGTCTTAGTGTGTCTGTCTTTGAATTCATCTTATTTGGAACTCTCTGGGATTCCTGAATCTAGATATCTGTTTCCTTTCTTAGGTTAAGAAAGTTTTCAATTATTATTTCTTAAAATAAGCTTTCTGCCCATTTCTCTTTCTTTTCTCTTTATGGGACCCCTATAATCTGAGTGTTATTCTGCTTGATGTTGTTTCACAGGTCCCTTAAGTTATCTTAATTTTTTAAAATTCCTTTTACCTTTTGCTGCTCTATCTGGATGAATTCCATTGCTTTGCATTTCAGCTTGCTGACCCATTCATCTGCTTCATCCAGTCTGCTCTTTAAGCTTTCTAGGATATTTTTCAGTTCACTTATTATATTCTTCAGCTTTGTGGACTTGTGTTTGATACTTCATTATATGTCCTATCTCTTTGTTGAGGTCCATTCCTCTTGCAAGTTTGTGAGCACCTTTATGACCATTACCCTAAATTCTTTATCAGGTGGATTACTTACCTCAATAGCATTATGTCTTTCTCTGGGTCTCTCAGTCTTGAAATGCCCTTATGTCACAGAAACTTCTTGTTCAAACTTGCCCTAGCTCTTAGTTGTTTTTGAACCTTTATGACTGTCTAATCAGCCTGATTTATTATTGATACATGGTTGAAGATATACCAAAGCTTGTCAGTGTTCCAAAGGGAGAAATGTCATTTAGCACCAAGCTTCAGGCTGATCTGAAGCCAGACCCTCAGGCAGCAGCTTTTAAAATCTGCATATATACTGGGGTGCCTACGTGGCTCAGTTGGTTAAGCATCTGCCTTTGACTCAGGTCATGATCCCAGGGTCTTGGGATCAAGCCCCAAGTAGGATTCTCTGTTCAGTGGGAAGTCTGCTTCTCCTTCTCTCTCTCTCTCTCTGCTCCCCACCCCCACCAACTCGTGCTCTCTCTCTCTTTCTCAAACGAATAAAATCGTTTAAAAATACACGCTAATATAGTGTTGTGCAGCCACAACCATAATCCCTGCTAGCCTCCAGACCAAAGGATCTGAAGGTATCCTCTGGGTGACAGTTGCAAAATTTGGGACTCTAGATAAGTGTATAAACTCCTTTCTGGGAGAACTTATTGAGCTGTATTAAGGCATATGAGGTGCACAAGGATGGTGTCTGCCTGCTTAGGTTCCTTAGGAGCACCTCCGTAGCCTCTAGATGTAGGGAAAACCTGAAGCCTGCTCCTCACTCAAGCTGAAGCTCCAGGCTAAGTAAATAGGCTTTTTTCACAGGGAGAAAGAGTTGTGCTTCAGGCTACTGTCTGCAATACCCTGGAATAGTGGCCTGTCAAGTACTGTCTTTCTGATTGATACATTCCCTTGGAGCTCAGAAATGTCAGCCCCCTTGACCACCAGGTCCAGTCAGTCGAGGAGCATCCGCTGTGTGGATTGCATTATCCACTGACTTTACCTAGGCAGCTGGAGAATGTAAGGGGTGGGGCACACTCTCAGCTTCAGAAAGACAGCAGGAAAACGTCTTGACTGCTTGTCCCCAGGGCTTCAGGAATGTGACAGGAGAGTGCCTTGTCTGTGTGCATATTCTGGCTTTAGGCTGAGAGCAGAAAAATGCTGGGACTGCTCACATTCGCTAGCCCCAACCAGTGAGTGCAAGAATGTTGCAACTACTTGTGTTCACCAGCTTTAGCTGAGGAGTGGGAGAATGCTGCTGCTACTGCTTGCTCTTGCCTGCCCCAGCTAAGCATCTGGGAGATGTTGCAACTGGTCCCCATTCTGGCTTTCAGCAAGGCAACCAAGGCAACCAGACGGTGCCATAACTAATCGCCCCTGCTTGTCTTAGTAAGATGGTGGTGGGAGGGTTTTGCATCTGAACTCACCCCCTGTGCTAGCAGAGTATGTAGAGTGCAATATTGGCATCTGCCAGTGGCATCCTCCATTTCCGGAGAGAGCTCATCTACCCCTCCCCCTCCATTTGCTTTTAGATTAGCCACTGAATCTCCTGCACATAGTCATTGTGCGTTTCATACTGTTATATTTTTGCTGGGTCTTCAGGTGACACTGCACACATATCCTTTAAAAGGGGCATCTTGGGTCTTTCTGAGCAGAGGGGTCTACATTGCTTGTAGGCTGCCCACCCCCCTACCCCTTCATCATGCTCGGCCTTGGTCTGTTGAATGTTTTTGGTTACTGCATAAGATTTTATTTGATGAAAATTTTCCGAGGATAAAACAAATCTGGAAATCTTGGGTTAGCTGCTTAGTGAGGTGGTAAGCTACTTGAGGAGTTGTCAGCTGTGTGCAGGAGCTTTCGGCTCTCTCCTGGGTCTTGCTTGCCAACTCTGCTTCTGACTAACCCTCTTTCTGGAAGCCAAGCCTTTCTTTAGATATGTTAATAGCCCTGATCAAGGATCCAGTTACACTAGGTGGTGGTTCTTCCAGTTTTGAGCCCAGAAACCTGAATATCTGAGGTGCTGTTACCTGAATGTTCTCTGAGGCCCTTCTTGCCAGAACATCATGATCCAGGTCTGCCATCTTCATCTGCAAAGCGATGCTCCTTTCCCTGTGCCTGAGACACCGCCATCAGGGAACAGGCCTGGATGCAGGTCCCCATTTTGTCTGTCACTCTGGGTGACCCCTGTCCTCACACCTCTGGCTGCAAGAGAGGGGGACCTGAAAACGTTGTTCCCTCCGTATCCTCCAGGGCTCATAGCAGCCCCTCAACAAACATTTAAGGAAAAGATAAACGAGTAAACAAATCGTAATTCTAAAGGAAAATTGCCTATTGAATAATAAGTTCAAATTAAGAGACATATAAACTTTTTTTTTTTAAGATTTCATTTATTTATTCATGAGAGACACAGAGAGAGAGGCAGAGACATAGAGAGAGAAGCAGGCTCCATGCAGGGAGTCCAATGCGGAGTTTTTCGATCCCAAAACTCCAGGATCACACCCTGGGCCAAAGGCAGGCACCAAACCACTGAGCCATCCAGGGATTCCCCAAGACATATAAACTTATAAAGGCTGGGAGGAGAAATAGGAGATGAGATAAACTTACATTTCCATTTCCTCATCCATAAAACAAGTAAAATCCCTAATAAAGGTTATGTTACAGCTCTACTGTGATGGGAAATAAAATCTCGAAGGGCACTTTGCAGAATGCAGAGGCTAACCATGAAAGGCTCAGTTTTTCAAAGACAGATACGATGTTAATGCCCAAGTAAGAGTTTTCTGGATAAGTGGTTCAAGACTCAAGCAGAAAGCTGAAATGGAGACATTTCCCTCTTTTCTGTATCCTGTGTATTTAAGAAGGATGCTTACCCTCTCTAAGCTCTCAGTGTGCTGCAAGCCCATGAACCATTCCTCCTGGGGAGACTGGGCATTCTCTAAAATGTTCGTTCTGCATGGGCTACATGTAGAAGGTTATCCTATATTGATCTATGATTAGTAAAGAAGGATTTCTGTAATACTTTCAGCGAGATTTGTCCAGAGTGCCAGAATTCAGAAGTCAGTCCCAAAGCAGCCCCAAAGCCTCCATGCTACTGAGGGGCCCATGCAATGCGGTGACATCCCTTGCCTTCCTGAGATCATTTCTGGTGTTGTGGAAGCAGCTGGAAGTGCTAAAGGAGCAGTGGGGCCGACTCAAACTGCAAGGCCAGGACAGCAATTCTCTGTCCTTTCACAAAGAGTTTTCAGAACTCTACGGGTGAGTGTTGCTGCTGAGGTGCAAATTTTTGTGAATGAGTGGAATCTGAGGCTTGGCAAATTCCTGCCTCTTAGTCTGAGGGTGAGATTTAGTCCATAATCCTGGTACGTCCAGGCCCACTGAGTGTAGAGGAAGCTGGGCAATGTGTCTCTATAACCAGTGCTTTTCAGGGAAAGCTGGGTTCTACTGACTGCAGGGACAGTGCTGGGTTCCACTAAGCAACACTGGTAACATTTACTCTAGGTAAAGAGTTTTACCTAGAGTTCTGTCTCTGGGAACTTGTGCTTCTCAAGTGTCCTCATGGTGCTGACTCTTAAGCTTTTTTAGTTCATAGCATCCCAGGGAGCACTGGGTATGGAGATGCTACTGCTACAAACTCCTCTCCATTTTCTGCCCCATTAGACCCAAGTGTTGAGTCTCTGAAGGCGTCATGCCTTGCAGCCAGAGGTATAATAAGGTGCAACATGAGGTCCTAGATTTGCGGGATGGGGGGGGGTGTGTGTTTTCACAGCTTCAGGCTCTAGCTGGGATGCCTTAAGTGGCAAGAAAAACATGTTGCTTCTTCCATGTGTCTGTTATCAAACAAGCATTCACTAAGCATCCACTCACCATCCTTGGACCTTACTGGGCACAGGAAGTTTCTCTTGGCATAGCCCAAACAGTCTATCTTATAGGTTATTATAGTCAGCTTTCCTCGTAACTAGGGAATGAGAAAACCTGTCAATTATTTTGAAGAATAAAGGCTGAAATTAAATGTACCCAATGGGAAAGGCTAAGGGATTTAATATTGACTAAGGGAGTGGCAACTGTGGTGAACTTAGCTGTCGAGGTGAGGGTCTATAATGGGATGGGAGGTTTATACATGATTACAGGAAACAGAACATGAATGAACATAATTGTCAGAGAATCTGAAAAAGAAAAAAGGTACATTTGTTTGCTAATTCCCGTCTCTCTTCTTTAATAGAACTGACATTCTCTACCCCAGCATGAAGGCTATCGCTAGGCGGATGGGGAAAGAAGACGAATTTGAAGATATTATAATAAGTAGTCAGTCTTTTCTTCCCCCCAAAGGAGCTTCAGAAATTGAAATAAAAACTCAGCAGGTATGCAGGAGCTGTTTTGAATCTAACTTTGAAAATTTCCTTTATGGCATAAGCATGTAAAACTACAGATCTACCCAGGTGGCATTTTTTTTTTCTAAAACATTAAGTGTAGATTGAAGGTATGTAAATCATTGAACAGGCTTAGAGAGAACCAAGTATTCAAAGGCATGTGGGACTTTGATTAAGCAAATAACTACTCCTACTATCTCCATTTTGTAAGTCTAGATCTCCATATTTTTATTTTCCTCTAATTAAGATAGACTACTACCAAAAAAAGACTATGATAGAGAACATAGTAGCATCTTAAACTTAAAATCTAGCACACAATTATCCACCCCTCCCAACACATACACCTAGGAAAATGGAAGGCTTAAAATAGCTCCTGTGATTGTTTTTCTGAGAATAAGACAACATGATTTATACACTAGTCCATTTGATGTGCTAGATGATCTGTCAGGAATCGAGCAGTAACTTACCCCACAACCCTCTGCAACACACACACACACACACACACACACACACGCACGCACCCTCCAGTCCCAAGCCCATTGCTTACCCTTCTGAACCCTGGTTCTGTCTAGTACTTGTGGTCCTCTGACAGGGAGAAATATGGGCTCTACAAGCATAATGGGTAAAGGAAGGGGTCACAGCTATTGGGACAGTTTTCTCCTGGTCATGTTTGGAATTTTAAATCTTCTCATGAAATCCTCCTTGATATCTAAATTGAGTTTCAGCCCCAAGGGTTTCTCTTGTAACAATAGTTCATAAAATTACTGGTCACATTTAGAGGCCCCCCAAAACACATGAGGTCATCTCAGACATTGAGCACTTTGCAATTTAGCACCACTTGGTAGAAAAATGATTGTATTTATCAATCGGGCTGTGGGCCAGGAAGAAAAGATGTTGGTCTCCAAAGAGGTGTATCTATCCTCACAGAAGCACTTGGAAACCCAAGAAAGGAACCCTTCCTTCTTCCTTGGGAGAGAATAGCTGAAGGACAGGACCTAGCCCCAGACCATCCTGCAGGAATTTGACTTAGGAGCCCAGATTACAAACTGAATGTAGAAAGTGACTCTCAAACTTCTTACTCTAGCTTCAGAAACTTCTGGAAAATCTTGAAATTCACATGATCCAAGAAGTATTAAGAAAAGTTAACAGAGAGATAGCACTGGTTGTGTCAGAAAAGTCTAAGGAGTGGTGTACTCTTCCTACAGGTAAAGTGTGTTTATTTTATTACTTTACAAAATAAACATTTATTGTTTTTTTCCCTGATTATGAAAGTAATCCATGTATCTTTTCCATGGCTAAAAAAAAAGTACCACAGTGTCCAGAAAATAATACAAAAATTAGTTTTTAACACCTTGGCCCAGAGAGAATATTAACACTTTGATGTATTTCTTTCCTAAAGTCTTTTAAATAGCAAACATTTGTTAAGTTCAGTCTCAATTCTGCTGATAAACTCATAAGTGAAATAAAGTTGAAATGGGTAAGACACATATGCTTTTCTTATTTGTAATATATCTAGTGTACATATATATGCAATACATGTATATGACATATATGTCAACATCTTACAAATACATGTATTTGGGGTAGGAAGTCAATCACAATTATTTCCTTTCATCTGAAGTCTAAAGTCAGGATCACTTCATGGACATGTGATCGTTGCACTCACATGGGACTCAGGAGTACTTGGGACTTAATGTCCTATGAGTACCATCTTGAAATACTTAATTTTAACTTAAAATTTGTGTTTTGCAAGTGGAATTCAGTAAGTCAATGGAGCATGCACCAAGAACTCGGAGCCTTTGCCTTATACATAGTCCAACTTTTTACTGCCTCCCCACCATGCCAGGAGGGGTTCTTTGCTGCCTACTCCTCTGCTCTCTGGCACCCGAGGCATCCCTAACCTCCCCCTCAGCATCCCCATGCAGCAATTGCTGCTGCCCTCCGCTTCAGTGGGAGCCCTAGCAGGAGGAAGATCAGGATATGTGTGCCTGGTAGTATTTCAAGGACTCTAGTCTGGCAACATCATGGTACATCTGATGGGTGGATTCAATGGGAGCAAGCCTATTGCCTATCCTTTGATTTATACAGAGGTTACAATACCCTTGGGGTTGCCTGTCCACAGTGAGCCCCTAGGAAGGAACGATGTCTGGCTCAACTTCTCTGCCCCTCGCCAGGACATATGGGGCCACCATCCAGCACCTGCACATATACTCATGCTTCCGATCACAGGGTGGAGCCCCTGGATGCCTGTGAGGGTCGCACTTGCCTTGTGAGCATTCCCATGCCTGGGGAGTGCAACATTAAAAACAAATAAAAATACCATGACAGGTCAAGAGAGAGATTGCAGAAGAAATAAAACACTGTATTTTAGTACCTATAAGTAGTACTTCTTTCCCCCTGCTTTTTGGATAAGAAGCCCTGCATTTTAATTTTGCACAGGGTGCCATTGATTATATAACTGATCCTGTCTAAACTACAATGTCTACTCCTAATCCTACTAATTCTATAGGAAAGTCCACAGCCTTTAAACTATGGAGAAGTTGTTTGATTAGCAAACTAAATTAGGTTTTCCTTTTGAGACAAAGTCCACAGACATTGTATTGTGAATTAATAATCTATGTCCTCATGTAAGACATTGTTGCTTTTATCAGTACTTTGAGTAACTGAATTCTGCACAAAGGACTTTGGCAAAAGGCCATGCAGTGAGAGGGCAAGCCACTTCTCAGCTGGGGATGTCACCAGAGAGCTAAATGTCACCAGAGAGCTGAGTGAGGTTGAGCTTCAATTACAGAACATTTAACAAGACACAGAGCATCTGTTGTTTGTGCTGTGTTTGCTGCATCCAGGCGGCTCCCTTCGAGGCTTGGGAGAAAATCCACAAGCACGCAGCAGGTGCAACCATCTGCATGTTTCAGGCTGTGGTTTTAATGAGACACCCGGATGGGGGGGCAAGGGAGGAAGCATTTTTGCTTTGCAGTTCTGCTGTGTGCTGCCTTGTGCAGAGTGCTTCTCGGTGGTGCTTGGAAAGAGCCTTCAGTAAAAGGCTGGTAGGAGTCAGGCAGAGGAGAGGGGTAGAGTTATTTTTAATGGTCATAAGGTTGATATTATCAAAATTTACTTTGGTTACAGTGTACTGGCCAATTCTAAACTCTCGTTCAGAGTCTATACTCATGACTTTTAAAACAAATACCAATCGTAAAGGTGTTGTGTTACTGTTGGTTTTGTTTTTGGTCTGTTAGGCATAACTCAATGTGGGTATCCTCCGGTAGTGAGTTCCCCCAGGGCAAGTGATGGAGTCCCCACTGTGTACCAGGGGTGCTTTGATAGACATTTCATCAGTGTAGTCTTCCTGAGACCCCTGTGGACCAGGAACCTTCAAAGAAGGCAATAAAACCTTGGAATCCCCACCCACCTACTGTTCATCTCAGCAAGAAGCAACCATAGTGGACGGGGCTTCCAACAGAGACCACTTCATGCAGAGACCACCATTTGTGGTCAAGGTTAACTTTGGGCTAGGAGTTTCTACAGAAGAAGCTGGGAATGGAGAGTATTGAAACCCAGGGGACATCTCAGGCTCTTGTCCTTCCCTCGGGGTCTCCTCTCTCCCTGCCTGACATCTCTGGTGTCTACATTTGTTACCAGCCAGAAAGAAACGCTCCAATCCTTCTCTATCTTCTCCCTCCTTCCCACTTTGTCTTGGGGCTTAATCTTCTTGTATAACTTCTGAAAGAGTTTCCAGTTTATCAGTGAGCATCTGAAAATGTGGCAGCCACACCGGGTCCAGTGCTAGTTTGTGGTAGTTGAACTAGTGCTCCCCTGAGAACTTTAAAAAGTAGCTCCAGACATCCTTGTTAAGCCTCTGGGCTTGGCTTAGCAGAGAGATGGGTTCCGCTGATTGAAAAAGGCTCTGCTGTTCCCCACATTTGACATTTTGGCATTGAAGTCCTTCTTAATTGATTTTCTCAACTTCTCTGAGCATTTATAAGGTCAGCAATCTCCAAAGTGGAGTGCATATATCCCAAGGGTGTGGGAGAAAATGTTAGAACTTCTAAATAGATTAAATCCATATGTAAGAAGTCACATGTCACACTCCACACTGAGGTGTCCTCAAGTGACTACTTGCAGGCAATCCACAAGCAAGCACTAAGAAATAGTGAAGACACTTCTAATCCTGGTACATGTTTATCATCAGCCACGTTATGAGGTTAAAGAGATAACCACATCTGATAAGAAGTCAGACAAAAAATTTTATTTTTTTAAAGATTTTATTTATTCATGAGACACAGAGAGAGAGAGAGAGAGAGAGAGAGAGAGAGAGAGGCAGAGACACAGGCAGAGGGAGAAGCAGGCTCCACGCAGGCAGCCCAATGTGGGACTTGATCCCGGGACTCCAGGATCACGCCCGGGGCCGAAAGCAGGCACTAAACTGCTGAGCCACCCAGGGATCCTCAGACAAAAAATTTTAAAAGGTCGAGAAAGCTCTTAGGAATGTGGATTGAGATCCATTCTCATTGTTGATGAGCTTCATCCTAGGTATGTCATGCTATACGATATTAGCCAGTGATAGTACCGTAGGTAATTAGAAATACATAAATACACACATGTTAACAGTGAGCAGACAATGTCTCGCTTGAAGGAAGCACTTTCCGAACCCTTAAGACAGCCTGGTCAAGGCCAGCATTCCCAGCGGTGTGCCCCAGAACACCAGTTTCTCAACATGTTAGTGCAGTCGTTCTCTCAATCACCCTACAATAACAGGCTCACAGGCTTACCTGAAGCTTTCCATTCCCTTGGTAACACAAGCTGGCAAAATACTAATCACAGTCTTCGGGTTACCTATGTTTACCCAGCATCACTGGTCATTGTTTGCTCCAAACCTGTTCATACCAGTTTTGCTTGTCATTGTGGTTTGAGTACAGTGGAACCACATTGTGTTAATTATTGTGGAAATCAAAGAAATGGGAGTACAAAAAAAGAGATCTGTTCTATAAAACCAAGTCGAAATGGGTAAGCTGTGGTACATCCAGTCAATGGAATAGTATTTCATGCTAAGAAGAAATGAGCTATCAAACCATGAAAAGACATGGATAAAAATGTTGGAAGGCGACCTGAAAAGACTACATATTGTATGATCCCGACTATATGGCATTTGAGAAAACATAGAACTATGGAGACAGTAAAAAGGTCAATGATTGCCACGGGTCTAGACAGGAGAGAAGGATAAATGGGCAGAATACAGAGGATTTTCAAGGCAGTGAAACTATTCTGTATGATAATATAATAGTGGGTAGATGCCAATTATACATTTGTCAAACCCATAGTTTCACCAACAGTGAACCATAGTGTAAACTATGGACTCTGGGTGATGATGACATGGGAGTGTATGCTCATCAGTTCTTACAGACATACCACACTGATGTGGGATGTTGATAGTTGGGGAGGCTGTGTGTTGGGGGGTGGGGGGCAGGAAATAGATGGGCACCCTCTGTACTCTCTGCTCAATTTTTCTATGAACCTCAAACTGCCCTAAAAAATTATATGTTGAGATTGTTTCATGGTCTCTTAATTTTGTCTCCATAAAAAAGAAAGAAACAAGCAAACCAACAGACAGCACACTAGAAAACCACACAATGTGTTATGGTTTATAGAAGAAAGATAGTACAGAACTCCAGTGAGTGGGTACATACAAAGAAAAGGCCTAAGTTCTGTGTTAGAAAATTGGCAAATGTTTGCATATTTGTTTGTATATATTTTTTAATTTAAGTAAAATATTTAAGATACTGCAAGTCATTTTTTTAAACATTCTCCACTTTAACAGACTTCTTTCGATCAATCAACACTCTTGATTTTTCACTGTATAAAAGGATTTGTATTGCATTTTACAGGGGTTGGTGGTGGGGGTGGGGGTTATTTGTTTGTTTGGTTGGTTTTTGTCAAAATAAGTTTGGGAAGCTTGTGGTTTCTTTGCTCCAGACCTTCTCAGAGCCTTTACTATCATAGTGTGTACTTATAAAGCTCCAGACGAGAGAGTAGAAAATGTTCTTTATTTTTAAAAAATTTTTAATTTAAATCCAAGTTAGTTAGCATATGGTATATTATTAGGTTCAGGGTAGAGTTTAGTGATTCACCAGTTGCGTATAACATCCAGTGCTCATTACATCAAGTGCCCTCCTTAATGCCCATCATCCAGTTACCCCAACCCCTGGCCCCTTGAAATGTTCTTTAAATTTGTTTGACCACAGAACCCTTTTTGCCCTTTGCAAATACCTATCATCAACTCAAGGGACTAGTGTTCTAGGGAGCAGTTTGAGAAATACAGTACAAAATACATACATACATATGCTTGAAGCAACAAGGTTTTAACCTACCCACCTTCTTGGAGACCCCTGGCTGGTCGGGAGAATGTTGGTTGGCAGTTGTGTGCTTCAAGTTTCGGTTCTGCTTGGGTCAGGACCCAGGAACCACTTAGGTGTGGAAGCTGGTGCTTGTGTTAGAGAAGTGAAATGCTACCTTTTCTAGAGACAGGAGGCTTGACTGGAGGGTGGGGGGGGGTGTTCATAGAGGGAGAGAGGGGAAGTGGTTTGGCCACCAGGAAGTCAAAGTTTCCTTCAGTCAAAGGACCTGGGAACACAGTGAGAGAAAGAATAAAACCCTAATTTAACCTCCAGTGTGCTGTCTCCTTCCCACCTCCATGCTGCTGTCAAAACCTGCTTCATCTTAAAGAAGCCTTGACCACACTCACACTGAGAGTGAGACACATTTGGAGACCACCAACTCCACTTGGCCAGGAATTACTTCTCTTGGATGAATTCTACTCTCCCTGGCTTCCCCTGACTCCTGCCTACAGAAGTACTTGCAGGTCTGAACTTGAACTAATGAGGAAGAAGCATGGCGGGAAGATTTCCCAGCACTTTGGTAAAATACTTCCCCTTCAGCTGAGCCCAGAGCTAAACCCCAAACCAGCTCCGTGGGCATTTGCCAGGTGATCGCCCCCAAACCAGAAGTATGTGGCTTTTCTGTGAGCCAGAAACCTAAAGTTAAACTACCCTGGAAAAAGTATCCAATTTCTTGTCTGAAGAATTTCTGAAATATGCATAAGCTCTATTTTGTCAAAGCTTAGACTTCTAACTGTCTTAAACATCTTAAGAAGTGTGAACTTCTAGGCACATTAACTCTTCTGCATTTTCCACTCCAACTATACCAAGACAATGGTGTTGGGTCTACTCACCTTTATTATCCCAAAGGAAAAACAAAGGCAGATGTATATGTTTATGATGGAAAATAGCCAATTGTAGAAGAATTCTGGAACCCCATTTTCAAAATCAGGACCACCCAATTAATAACATAATTTATAACATAAATAACATAAATACCAGGGGCTCCTGCTCTGTCGTATCCACATTTCCGAGAGGATTGTGCCGGATGTTTCCTCTAGCATCCACCAAGTTTCCTGTCAGAAAAATGAAAGTAAGAATAGGAAATCACATCTGAAATGAGAAACAGCTGGGGACAGGGAGTGGCCCTGTGTGTACTCTTGCTGATGGCCAGCAACCCCACAACAGAAAAGGGAGTGGGGCGGGGCTTGGCTTCTACCTCTGAGTCCATAGGTTTCTCTTTGTTCCAAGACTCCGCTGGGGCCGTGCACAAGAAAGTAGGCCCTACCCAACATAAGTAAACATACACGTGTGCTTTTGCTCTTCCATATGGAAGTTAAGGAGTGTTGACATTTCCACAGCTCGAGCACTGTCATAATATTTTTAAGTTTGATTTTCTTAACAGCAAATACATTCACCTGGTTCAAAAATCAAAACAATACAAAAAATGTATGTATTTAGAGATCTAGTTACCACCACTGACCTCCTTTTGCCACCCATGTAACCATTTTTATTAGTTTTAATATATACTGTCAGTGCTTCTTTATGCATACGCTAAATCATTCTCTCATTCAGTATCTATTTACTGAGCACCTCGTATGTGCTAGACTACTATATTTTAGGCACTGTTTGGGAGAAACATCCTTACTTTCATGGAGCAAAACTCCTTACTCTTGTGGAGTTTATCATCTAGAAGGGGATAGACAGATAGTAAGCAATAAACATAAGAAATAAAATAATGGAGAAAATAAGGAGGATGGTGGTGGTGGAGGTTTGAAGGGTCCATCTTGCAATTTTAAATAGGGTAATCAGGATGGACTTCACAGAGAGAGTGATACATTGAGCAAAGCTTGAAGGCCATGAGGGAGTAGCTATGTGGGTATCTGGGCAGACAGATAAACAGACAAAAGAACAGCCTATACAGAAGAACAGCCCGTACAGAGGACCTAAGCAGAGCGTGCCTACCATTTTATGGAACAGAAAGACTCAAGTGTGGTGGGAGTGGAGAGAGTGAGGGAAAGCAGTAGGAAATGAAACCAGAGAGGAAGAATGAAAAGATGACGGATCATGCAGAGCCTACTCTTAGTGTTTACTCTGAATGTAATGGGGAGGCTGTGCCAGATTTTTCGTGACATGATCTGACGTATTTTATTTTATTTTATTTTATTTTATTTTATTTTATTTCATTTTTTAAAGATTATTCATTTGAGAGGGGAGAGGGGGAGGGGGAGAGGGAGAGAGAGAATCTCAAGCAGACCTCCTGCTAAGCATGGAGCCCAACGTGGGACTTAATCTCACGACCCCAAGATCATGACCTGAGCCAAAATCAAGGAGTCGGACACTTAACCGACTGAACCACCCAGGTGCCCCTGACCTGATATATCTTAATGGAATTTCTCTGGCTGCTGTGTTGACGATGGATTATAAAGGAAAAAAGGTAAGAGAAAGGAGAGGCTGCTTTGAAGCCTCTTGTAATAATCCAAGCAAGAGGAGATGGTGGCTCAAACAAGTTTGGGAGCAGTGGAAATACCAAGTGGTCAGATTCAGGGCATATTATCGAAGTAGCCCATAATGGATTGTGTATCAAGTGTGGGAGAAAGAGAAGAGTCCATGATAACGCCCAAGACTTTTGACCTGAGAAACTAGGAAAGTAGAATTGCCATCATCAACTGAGATAGCAAGTTATGGAGGGAAGATCAAGAATTTATTTATACCCAAATGACCTTTGAAATGCCTTTTAGACATCCAGGAAGAGATGCCAAGTGAGTATTGGATCTAAATGTGAAGGTTGTCAGCATATGGATGATATTTAGTCATGAGGCTAGATGAAATGGCCAAGGGAGTGAGTGTAGATAGGAAAAAGGGAAGCGAACCCAGGGCTGAGTTCTAGGACACTCTAATGTTAAGAGCTGCAGGTAGGGAGGGGAAAGGAAAACCAGCAAAAGGGACCTAATAGGAACAAACAGTGAGGTAGGAGAAAACTAGGACAGAGTGGTATCCCACTGTCTAGTGATGAAAGTCTCTCAAGCAGGAGGAATGTGACAAATTATGTGACATGCTTCTGGTAGTTGAGTAAAACGAATATTTTGAGTCCTGTTGAGGTCATTGATATTTATGACAAGTCAGTTTCAGAGAAGCAGTGGGGGTAAAAGCTAGAGGAGTAGGCTTAAGAAAGATTTTGAGAAAAGTCACCAACAGTAAAGACAGGCCTTTCTTTCTGTGAGTTTTGCCAAAAAAAAAAAAAAAAAAAAAAAAAAAAAGAAATGAAGCAATAGCTGACAGGGGACATGGAGTCAAGAAAGAATTTTTATGAAGTGGAAGAAATAATGTGTGCTATTGTGAATGACCCAGGAAAGAAGGGAGAAGTGATACTGGAAAATGCTGAATTTCTGGAGCAATAATCTTGAATAAGCTTGAAATCCCCTCCTTTATTATATTTATCACATCTTTCTTATAAAAGATAACATTTCATATTCACTGCTCTTCACCTTGCGTTTTTCACGTAACAGTCTACAGTTATTTTCATATCAACGCGTGGAGAAGTTTCTCTCTTTTTTATAGCTGCATGCTATTCCACTGGAAGTATATACCACAGAATCCAGAATGAGACGCTTAAAACAATATGGTTATTTCTTTACCTGCTTGGATTTATTTTGTTTTTGTAATACAAAAAATAAATGATTTGATATAAAAAGAAAAAGAAAAAAGGATATACCATAGTTCTTGTGTTGCTTCCAAGCTACTGCTGTCCTAAGCAATACTACTTTGAATAATTATGTATATGCCTCATCTCATGTGTCAACCTGTTGCCCTTCAATCCATAATCTGTCAGCTCTCAACATTCCTAGTCTGTGATGGTAAATATAATAGCTCTCCATTTATTTAGTTGTATTAGACCAAGATAATTGTTCAGATATATGTAGGAACTTAATGAAAAGGGATGTCATGTTGGACCAACAATAACATTTGATTCAGGACTTAACAAATATTGTTCACTGGGCTTCAGAGGTTCTTTTCCAAATCTTTTCATCAGGAATCTTGTTAGAGATCTTCCTTATTCCTATGTTCTGGAGGATTCTGTGTCCTCAACCACCTTCCCCTCCTCCCCCTGACTCACCCATTAGTTTTTGTGTATTTGGAAATAACAGCTTTTTGCGTCCAGTGATACATCTCAGACAGTAGCCATTAATTATTGTTCAATGTTTCATGATATTTGCATTGGTGTGTTTCTCCTCCTAGACCTTTGGAAGCACCATGTCATGAAAGAAAACTTTTCAGTTAGCAGACCACAAATAGTTGAGAAATTTATGCAGAGATTAATGGAAAACTACCAGGATGGTGGACTAGAGGTATGTATTGAACGTCAAGTCATTTTAGAGTGTTGTTTTTTTTTTTGTAACAGAAACCCAAACAAGGAAGACTTACCCCTTAAGACATCTCCTAATGCTTCCTTTACTCCCTTAGAATAAAGATACAAATTCTGAGGCCTAACTCAAAGTAGTAATCACTTGTTATCATTTTAATTTTGGAAAAAGATTGATTTCTAATAAAGTATGGGAGAGAAATTAGTATCAGATTAATTAATATCTGGTGGTTAATATCAGATTTGGCCAATTTTTTAAAGTAACCTCGGAGTTTGTTGATGAACAAGTTTTTTTTTAGCAACATTTCCTGTGTTGATTATTTTATTTTATTATTTTATTATTGAGAGAGAAGGAGAGTGCGTGCACATGTGTAGAGTGGGGGGGAGGGGCAGAGGGAGAGGGAGAGAGAATCTCAAGCAGACTCCTTGCCCAGTGCAGAGCCCCCCATGCAGGGCTCTATCTCACAACCCCGAGATCATGACCTGAGCGGGAATCAAGAGTGAGACGCTTAACTGACTGTGCCTCCCAGGCACTCCCTGTGTTGATTTTTTTAATATAGAAAATTTGGAAGAGAGAAACTCTAATAGCCTATAATTCCACTACCTAGGAAACATTGTTTTTAATGTACAATACAAAAACAAAAACAAACAAAACAAAAACAAAAACTATCAGAAAGGTAACATTTCTACTCCTTCACTCTACCATCCCCAGCTACTCCTCCACAAAGGAAGCCAGTATCAACAATTTTTTTGTGTGTGTATATATATTTAAATCCATAACAGCTCTACATAATATATAACAATAATATGTATTTAATACATACAATACGCATACACACAGTTCTTAGAATTTTCAACTGTTGATTATTTCTAAACAGTGCTGAAAAGGCAAAATAAGAGAGTATATGTGACATTTGGCCATAGCAGAGCTTTAGGATCATTAACAAATGAAGCATAAGTACATTAGGTAGCTATGAATCCAGTTGCCTTTGAAATTCAATCATTTTTTTAAAACCTGATTTAGCAAAACATGCTTTTTAAAAACAATTATTTCCCTCAAAGTTATATTTTTCTAAGCTCTTCAAATATTCCCCATAATTTCATAATAAACACTTCAGTTTTTAATTACAAGATAGAGAATTCTCTAGCTTGGTTGGGGACACATTTTTTTTCTCGGAGCTTGATGATTTACGTATCTTTCATTTAAGTTTTCAATTATACTCAAATATGGTCCTTGTGTATTCTGATGAGGGGGTGAAGTGGTTCCTTGTGGTCCCTGCAGCTCAGAGGTTCTCAGCCAGAGGTACAGAGGTGATTAGGGTGGGACGTGCTTAGAAACAGGTTTGAAGCAAAAAAATTTGTGGCTGTCCTTAAAGAAGGAAGGATATTCTGACCTGTGCTTCATCATGGATGAACCTTGAAGACCTTCTTCACTGTGAAAAAAGCCAGTCACAAAAGCATAAATGCTGCATGATTCCACTTCTATGAAGTACCTACTATAGTCAAATTCATAGACACAGAAAGTAGAACGGTGGTTATTAGAAGCTGGGGGAAGAGGAACGAGAGTTGGTGTTTAGTAGGAATAAGAGTTTCAGTATTGCGAGATGAAAAGGATTCTAGGGATTGTACAACAGTGTGAATGTACTTAATGCTACTGAACTTTACACTTAAAGATGTTTAAACTGTGGCACCTGGCTGACTCTGTTAGTAGACCAAGAGCTGACTCTTGATCTTGGGGTCAAGAGTTCAAGCCCCACCTTGAGTGTTGAGATTACTTTAAAAAAATCAGTTTAAATGGCAAATGTTATGGTATGTATATTTTACCACAAAACAAACAAAAAAAGTTTTTTTGAGTTTGAGGTCTTGAGTTTGTGGCTCAAGATCTGCTCAACCCATATGTATATAACTTTACTCCAATGTTGAAGATGGGATTGTCTAGGAAAGAAATGTGGATATCAGGGCAAACCCATATTGGGTATAACTGAAACCCAAGGTGCACTGAAGAGGTTGGTATCTGCCTGCCTGTGTCTTGGAATGAGAGGACTCCAGGATGTTAGATCCCTCCAAACTCTGTGCCTGGACTTCTATCTTCTTCTGGATCATCTGCAATGACAGGGAACTCACTCTCTTCCAAACCCACCCCCCTCCCCAGCCATTCCTGGCAGCTCTTGTTTCAAGGAGATCTTCCTGAATTGGATTTGGCCTCCCCACCACCTCCATCATGGATCCTAGTTCTGTCCCTGGGACACCACAGATCATGATTGTGACCCCTCACAAGAAGCCTTTAGGTATCTAAAGGCAGGTCAGTCAGAGGAGCTCAATTAGCACCATTGCTAGCATGTGTGAGGCCTCGGTAAAACTACAATGAAGGGCCTGCCCTAGTAGCACAAACCCAAAAGGGCGCTCCCCTGGGTGGTGGGCTACAAATCGTTACTCCTTCCTCCAGATGGGTGCAGCCCCAGCCCAGGCCATGAACTGGGAGAGGGAGCAGGCGCTGTGCTCCTCCCTTACCTGGGTGCCTCTGTGCGGAGCACAGATTGCATAAGCAAACATCCAGGACCTGAGCCCAGCCTTCTCTTCTTTAGACTAAGTTACCTTCATTTCCTTCAATCACTTTATATGAGCAGCCCTACCATTCTGCTCAGTCCCCTCTAAACTCAAGATTGTCTGACGAGCAGAAAGCCTATGTGTCCTGTGTGCTGTGCTTTGATGAATGCCCATGAGTATGCTGGGTACTGGCAGCCACTACGCTGATGACTCGTTAGGCTAACAGTCACCTGAAGCCCACACATTGTCTTCAGGCATCCTGCTGCCGCCATATTAGTAGCCTTGTTCTTATTCAATTTGACCCATTCTAAACTCCTTGAAATCCTTAAAAATCTGGATATTTTACATCCAGCACACTCTCTCTCCCTCCCAAGTTCATGAGTTCGTCAGCCTGTCCTTGGTATCCTCATTCAAATCATTACTAACAGTGTATGCCACGACAGGCCCCAATCCTGTGCTCCCCACTCTGGGTCCCCTTCAGGCGGACCATACTCTCTGGGCACAGGCTGTCAGTGGCCAGCAGCCCATCCAGTTGTACCGATACCCAGCCTATGTTCTCCACTGTTCCACAAGGACATCAGGAGAAACCTGTCCAGATATCCTGCTGAAATCCAGGTACGCTGTGCTGCATTTCCTGAGGAAAAGGCTCATCTAACCTGAGTTTTCTGGAATCCATATTGGCCTCTACTGATCTTTGATTCCTTCTCCAAATTCTAGAAAACCAATCTTTGCAATAAGTTCTACCATCTTGCCCAAATTTTATACCAAACACACTGACCTAAACTTAGAAACTGACCTTTATTGAAAATCAGAACTATAATCTATTGTGTTGATTCCAGAACCATTTCCATTCATATGCCAACAGTCATACAGTACTCATTGAGCAAGTGTTTGTAGAGTCCTACTTTTTTTTTCTAGGCACTTTATTAGATTAAAGGCAAAAGGCACAGTTCTTGCCCTCAAAGAGCTTATGGAATCAGATGACCCAGAAGTGTCAGGAAAAGGCACTTCACATTACATGCTTTGAAAGAGGCATACACAGGAGATACAACCACCTAGGGCGTAGGGAAGAAATAGTCAGGGAAGACTTCTTGGAGGAAGTGTTGTTTGGGCCAAGTCTTAAAGCAAATAGGAGTTAGCCAGATGAAGAAGGGCTGGGGAAGAAAGGCAGAGAAATGTAAGAAGGAAATGTAGCAGAGTTCAGAGGAGGACATTGAAAAGATAGACGGGGCCAGTAACTGAATGGCCTGAAGGCAATCCCTAAGGAGTCTGATTTCATCCCAGAGTCAGTGGGACGTCACTGAAGCATTTTATCAGCAGAGGTGGGTTTTTTAGAAACATCATCAAAACCCCTTATGTGTGCCTGATATTAGGCCAATTATGAGGGGCTCCAAGATGAAACACACTAAGGAGGTGCAATTTGCTCCTAGCAGAGCCAGATTTTGCCATAACAAGGCCTAGCACCTTCCATGCTTCACCCTAGGCTGGCTCTCCAGAATATTCTGGTGATTTTCCAGCCATTGCCATTCATCACAGTTCAGGCTTAACTGTTGGTGAAGGAATCAGCCCACTGGAGGTCATGGTTTTTATGACCATTTATTCACAGCTGCTCTGTGGTTTTTATGAACCCAGGGGCCTGCCTTGAGGGGGAAGCTGACAGATGAACCCACTCCATGCTGCATTTTGACACAGAGTTGACATTTAGTGACCTAGGAAGGCAAGGGTAGGTTGCAGAACAGCTTTTAAGAAACCCAGTAACAAAAGACAATTTCTCTGGCCTCTTGAGATGCTCAAGAGGAGTCCTGGCCATTCCTACACTCTGGTATAATACAGACTCACCCAGAGGTGCCTCACCCTTACTGGGTAAAGTATCACGCTGGCTAAGAAGGGATGGCAGAAAGCCATTGATGTCCAAGGCTGCATTTCTGTTTGTTTGGGATCTTATATCTACCATGGTGGCTGTGGTGACATTAGTTTGAGAAGCGTTTGCCTTGCTAAAAAGCCATTGGAGGCCTTAATGGAATGCTTAGATCCAGAGACTGCTGTCCGGGGCATCTGGGTAGCTCAGCAGGTTAAGCATCTGCTTGGGCTCAGGTCCTGAGCTCAGAGTCCTGCGATCGAACCCTGCACTGAGCTCCCTGCTCAGCAGGGAGTCTGCTTCTCCTTCTCCTGATCCTCTTCCCCACTTGCGCGCTCTCTCTCTCTTTCATAAATAAATAAATAAATAAATAAATAAATAAATCTTAAATAAATAAGAGATCGTTAGAAGAGAGAGAGAGAGAGAGAGACTGCTGTCCAGGACAGTGAGGAGTGAGTCCCTGTGGCTGATTCCAGGCACTGAACCCAGCCCACCTGGAAGGGGTCACCAGCCACATTTTGATGGCCTTGGATGTGGTCTCATGACTTCTCAATGTTTCAGGCTTTCACCATATTCAGTCTGGGAAGTGTTTCCTTTGTCATAACTAAATTTGCATCGCCTCGACCCTGTCACCATAAAGAAGTCAAGAACCAGGGGATGGAATCTTGGTTCCCCTTGCCTTGATGTCAGAAGCTAAATCTGGCTGTCCTCCTGCTCCCTTTCCAGAGCGGGGTGGCTTGCCCTTACTCCCACGCCCCTTATGGGACCCCTAGAGGAAGCCCCAGAGAATGAGAGAAGGATGCCAAGTGCCCTCCCCTGACTGCCTGGCTCCTGTTCACTAAATTCCCCATGAGCAGACGTGTTCATCTACAGTTTCCAATCTGTATCTCTTCAATGCCCCCTGCCAAGCTGCTGTGGGTGATGATCTCTACAAAAGCTTTCCTATCTTTTCATCAGGATATACATTTTATTTATATGCCCGTTCTTATATAAAATTATCTTAATCATGGATACGTGTTCTGATTATATTAGAAAATAGAAATACGATGTATTAGAAAACATACTCATTAGCTTACCCTCATTGATAACGCCTATTATTATTTTGGCATATTTCCTTCCAAACTTCATAATTTTCTTTGTTCATTAACTTTTAAAAACCAAATTAAATTATTCTATTATAGTGTACTTGTTTTCACTCGAGTACATGTTACCAACATGTTTCCTTGTCAATGAACATATGTCCACAGCATAATTTTTGGTGGCTCTCTAGTATCCCATTGTGCAGACAAGTGAGAAAGATTCGACCTGTTTCCCTTTATTAGGCACTTTTGATCTTTTCCATTGCTCTTTTTCTTGGGAAGGCTACTGTAAAGAACATCTGCTCACATATGTTTTTTTGTGTGTCACTTTAATTATCCCTAAAGATAAAGTTCTAAAAGAGGAATTCCTGGGCCAAAGGGCATGAACATTTTAAAATCTTTTCATAGAAACAGCTAGTCTGCCCCCCAAAATGCCACACTATTTTCCCCTGCCATCGGCAGCGTTGAGCGAGCCACTTTGCTCACTCCATCAGTACTGAGTTTTATCACTTTTGGCCATCTCTGCTAGTTTGCCTCAATAACTCGCCGTGGCAAAGCCAGACTGGGCTTTCTCTGGAAGTCAGTGGGGGCGCTGAGGTTGTACCAAGAGCACGGTGTACTGGGCCTCACTGGGACAATCAAGTCAGAGACACAGGACCCACCCCAGGCCAAAAGCTTCTGTTGCATCCTGCCAGGGAGCCTGGAGCCCTCCTGACCCTGGAAGTGTCACAGAGGAAGCTCATGTAAGCATGCAGGCTGGGTCTGGGCCCCATAAGACACCCAGATACACACTGACACACTCACTGATACACACAAAGGAACACACATAGACACAGAGATATGTACAGATGGTCACAGATGGAGACACACCCAGAGAGCCATAGATACACTATACACATAATGGATACAGACACAGACACACAAACATATCCACAGATGCACAGAGATGTGCTCACTGATGTGGACACATAGACGCACACACACAAGCATTAGGACATGCAGGTTCCAATCAGGTAGATCTATCCTATCTCCAACATATGGGCTCCCATTTCTCTTGAGAGCCTTGGAGGGGTGAACTTTTTCCCCTCTTCCATAATGGCTACCTCTTCAAAAGAATGCCCAATCTCTTAGAGAAAGGGAAGGAATGGGACTGTCAAGAGAGTAGCAGTAAGGCCCTTCAACCAGAGCAAGAGGGATCCCTGCCAGATGCTCATTCTTCAGAGGCCTTCTCTGGCTCTTCTCTAACCCCACTCTTCCTCAAAGGGTGAGAAGTACCCACAGCCAAGGCGATATGCCCACTCAGATCTCTGGCCTTCTTTCTAGACCACGCTTTAGGAATTCCTGGGATTCCTCCCTGAAAATTCCCCAGATCCTGCTCCCCTCAGGGAGAGTGGACCTTACTGCCAGTGTGCATACCCTGGCCTCAGGAGTGGTCAAGGGCAGCTGTGTAGGGCTGTAGATAGCCGGAGTGTCTGTTTACATACATGTGAGGCCAGAGGTGGGAAGACAAGGGGATCATACCGTAACCTAGAGGTCGGTGACCAGCTCTCTCCAAGCCACCACATTTCAGCAAAGAACTCAGAGCGGCCCAAGAATGAGAAATTCAAGCCTGGCCTTCCAAGTTGTTTTGAAGACCTATTTTTCAAAGTAGGAGAATTAGTAGCTTATTATTTTGATTTATAACCATTAAGCATCCAGAGTACTTAGATATGTGGCATATAGGCTTCCCCTTGTACTCTTGTCTCTACCTGCAAATACTAAGAGCAGACCCGAAAGGGACCTGCAAGGTGAGAGCCCGTGTTTTTCTGTGGAGGAGAAATGGACGTGGGTCTGTGAGCCCAGGCAACAGGTGCCCTGGCATGGTGAGGTTATCCTGCTAGAGCTGCTGTAAATAATGCCCCTTCCTTTTCAGATCACTTTCAGGAAAGATCACCTTGAGGCCTGCCTCCTCTCCTTGGGTTGTGATGTGATGGCAAGAGAACGCAGCAACTTCGAGAGCTATTCCATGTGTTATGAGCATGTGTTGGAGCATGCTAGGCAGAAGCTCTGCCAGAAAGAGCAAGTATGTCCCCAGGGAGACAAGAAGTGTGATGGGAGAGGTGTGAGTAGGGAGGCCCAGGAGTCACTCCAAAGAGGAGACTAAAGCAGGGGGGGGGGGGGGAGCTGTTTTGTGAAAGATTGGAGGGTAAATGGTACTCCCCAAATGTCTCTTCTCATTGGTTCATTTTTTGGGGGGGGCTCTGGTAGTCTCAGTTGCAGGGGTGATGGCCCAGCAACACTGGGTGTGTGCTTTGGAGGTATCTAGTGGGAAATATAAAGTTAGTGACAAAGGGACTGTGTCGTGCCCCCACCCCACCCCAGGGAAGATGCATTGCTGACCTTCTAACCTCAGCAAACATAAAGCACTTCGCACACTTCCTGGTCTAGCAGAGAAGCCAGGATCCTTGAGTAAACTCTATCTTCAAGATGCACATCATGGGTCTCACTGAGATTTCCTTAAAATGAGTCCCACTGGTGGGATCCAGGAGTCACTTCTCCTGTTCTAGACTGCATACTTTTAAAATGGATTGCATCAGAGGTTCAGTGTAATATTACTTTTTACCTAAGAAAAGTGCAAAAGTCTGAAAAAAAATCAAATGAAGCATTCAAATATCAAATGAGTCTTGGCTTCACCCCCAGTTTGGCTTCTCCCTGTAGCCAAGTCTTTGGCACAGTGTGGATATCTGGAAGTTAATGCTGTCTTCTGATCTCACATTAGGCGTCCTACAGTCCAGTGGGTCAATAAGCGCGGTCAGGCTCCACATGGAGCCCAACGATCGAAAAATGAAGCTCCATTAACACAGATAGATGTGTGGAGCATGTTGTACTGAACTGAGCCATGGTTGGAAGAATAAATGTTTGAGTTTGGTTGTGCCTGTTTTCTCCTCTTCAGGAATTAGATATCATACGAAGAGGTTCAGATCCACCTGAAGACGGTGCTGGTCAGGTAGGTCAGTTCCTACCAAAAAGTTTCCCTTTTCCATCTCACAAATCCACCGTCTCAGCAGTGGCCAGCCAGGGGACTTCCTAGTGTTTTTTGTGTGTGTGCCCTCATCAAGAGTGACCCGTAGAGGTCTCATCAATGAAGATCCACTGCAGAAACACGTAGCGTGTGTTTTTACTTTTTAAGCAATAAGGGCTTTCTTTTTCTTAGTTTTTTGGTGGTTTTATTTTTTATTGATTTGATTTTTCTTTTTGTTGCTACTTTTCGGTTGGGGTTGGAGGCTTTGTTTTTCTTTTGAGGCCAGTTTAAGTGAATTCCAAAGAAAAAGTATTTAGGCTGAGGTGTCAAAGAAGGCCAGTTTGGAAATGGAGGCAAAGACAGCTGAAGCGTTTTATCCAATTAAAAAGTGCTTCGGGGTCTCTTCTGGGGTCATTCATTCAGCAACTATTCATTGGCCACCTACCACGTGTCTGGCACTGTTCCGAGACCTTAAACCAACCTTGGATTCTTCCGCTCATATTTGTACAACAGGATGTTTACCTCTTTCGTTAGATTCAAGGTAGAAGAGCAAACCTGACACTGATATACAAAGAACTGTTCTGTAGTGGCAGTGTGGATTTCTTGAGTTATTTTCCATTAAAACAATATTTCTGCTGTTAGGTTGCAGAGCTCAGTCATAATATGATCATGGAAATCACGGCTCTGAGAGCTCGACTCACAGATTTGGAAGAGGAGAATCTGAATCTCAAACAGCAGATTAGACAAGAAGTCCAGGAAGAATATGAAGCATTAGTCCAAGCTTTGTTTGTGACATGTCTACACATAAAAGTAAGTGACCTGTGTTGGACATCTGGGCAGTCCTGTGGGAGCCAGGTGTGGGTGACCTCCACAGACGCTGCACACAGAGCGATCGATGACAGAATGGGCTGTGTGGTAACAAGAGCCTGTGCAGCCCTAGAGCTCTCTGGCTCTAAGCGTTCACTGCAGAGAGGGGCAGCAATGGGTGGTCATGATTTTGCCATGATAGACACTGAATTTTAGACAATTTAGGTATTTGCTATTTTCCTTACCCTGCTGCCAGTTGCCATTGTTGCCATCTGATTGCTGTGAAAGGGAAGGTGGGGCTGTCTTCTCCGAAACCCCAACGACTGATGTCACTGTTTTGCCTATTGAGTACAACCATCTGATCGGGAGAGCACAGTGCCCTAAGCCAGGCCAGACCCCAGTGTCAGTAGCAATAGCACGTCCCGAAAGCTCACTAGGAAGATTGGGAATTTGAATTAGCTTTCAGAGATTTTTTTTTTCAACCTGCCAAATGCCTGCCAGCCTCTCTCTCACATCGAGCGTCAGGGAGCTGCTAATCTGTTGGTGAAGGTCCATCCAGAAGAGGAGTGGTGGGCTGCCCATGTGTCCACAGCACTGTGGAAGCCTGCTACTTTCTTATGGTATCTGAGCAGCTGTAAGATGGAGGCTCCATGCCTAAAATGGGCCATCACAGAGCCTGGTCCAGCTGCCCCACAAATGTGAATTCCAGTATAAACCTGCTCCCTCTCCTGCTATTGGGTGTTGCCCAGAACCAGCCCCAAATGAGTCCTTACTTGCATGGTCTCTCCTGGGGCATTCTAGGTGGTCCCTGAAGTTGTTACGTGAGGAGCTTTCACCAGTGCTCTGCCTTGGCCTGGTCATTTCAGAGAGGATTAGAGGTTCCTTCTTACTTATGAGGAGGCCACAAAAATGCAACTGCTTACAAATATTAAAGAATCAAAACCAAAATGCGTTGGGCCTGGTACTCCAGGAAAAGGTTGAATAGACAGTGAAATCTGGAATTTGCTAAGTCATCTTTCGGGTATGAAATTATTAAACATTTTCTTGAGTTTTTTTTTTTTTTTTTTTTTTTTTACTTATACCAGAATTCCTAGACAGAAAATAGATTCTCTGCTTCTCTCAGGCTAAACTAGTTCCACAGGCCCCCCAAAGCTGAGAATCCATGTTCTACTCTAGGATCCCAAATAGGTGGTGAAGCTTTTGCTGGCTGCCCAGCTGGGCAGCATGCTCCTGCTTTCCTCTCCAGGGAAGTGGTCCAGAGATGAGAGGACACCCAACTCTCACCCCTCAGCCAAGGAGGCAGGGTCTGTGGTTGTACTTAGCAACGATCAAGCCCTTTTACCACAAGCCATTATCCACAAGCCATTCAGAACAGGCTGTTTCATAATGAGATTTCTGCTGGAACCTAAATGGGAAGGTAGCCAGCCTGATTCCTTCCTCTACTTTATCTATTTTTAATGTAGTTCCTCATTAGTGGCTCATCTATAGTGTTTTATCTGGTCAGATTCTGCTGAGTCAACCTGATAGCAAAAATCCTTAGGATCGAATTCTTGAGCAACCTTTTGCCAGAGGAGGGGTGATTCAGTTTTCCACCTGTGACCTTCCACTTTTCTTTTTTTAAGGTTTATATATATATATATATATATGAGATTTTATTTATTTATTCATGAGAATACAGAGAGAGGCAGAGACACAGGCAGAGGAAGAAGCAGGCTCCATTCAGGGAACCCGACGTGAGACTCGATCCCGGGTCTCCAGGATCAGGCCCTGGGCTGAAGGCTGCGCCATCGGGGCTGCCCACCTTCCACTTTTCTATCCACTCAACTTACCCTGGCATCTGACAACTGGGGCTCTAAGATGTGTAGGGTCCACATGATGAGGCCCTGCAGATTGAAGGCAATGCTAAAGGGGCTGCTACTGAGACTTCCAGATAATACCTGATGGAATAATTGGGTGGGTGATTTTTTAATGTGAAATCATTTCTGAAAGTTGGGTTTTAGAAGGCAAAATGACTCTTCCTCCACTGCCCTTCCTGAACTTGAGTCTGCAATTTGCAGGAAAAGTTGGATGAGAATCAGATTAATTTAATCCAGAAAGTATATGAGCTCATTGGCGAAGTAAGAACAGAAGGGATTGACAATCTGAGGAGCCTCAAGAAAAAATGGGGCTCTGCTCGACCTGATGAAGGAACGAAAGAAAACCCAGCCAAAGTACGTGATTTCATTTACCAATGGGAAACCAGCATTTCATCCCAGCATCTGACCCCAGCTCACTCTGTATGCATTCCAGTCTGGCTTCCCCAAGAAAGCATTGCACCAGGCATTTAAAAAGGGCACAACTGTGTCGTCCTCGGTTCTGAGGTTAGGATTTGTGCCCTTTCCTCCTGAGAAGAGCGTTGGGGGCAGGCAGCCTTTTCTGAAAGGAAGTCTCTCTCAGCAGGAGCAGCTGCAGGCCTTGGAGCAGGACAACAGCAGCCTGGCTGTGCTGGCGTGCAAAGTGAGGAGCCTGGGCCACTGGAGGCTGGCGGCACAGCAGGCTCGCTTCCAGGGCCAGCTGAGCAGGGCAGAGAAGGTGAGGCCCCGCCCGGCGAGGTGGGTGGCAGGCTGGCTTCCTTGGCTGCAGCTGCTGTACTGGTGTCCTGGCAGTGGTGGCAAAGCCAAGCATCTGAAAGGATCTGCAGTCGGGGAGTCTTCAGGGGAAGTGGCTGTGTCAGAGCCTCCAGAGAAGTAGGAAAGAGCCAGAAGCAAATGGCAAAGAAGCAAATGGGAGAACAGATCAGAGAATTTAGCTCCAGAGCAGGGGAAAGATGGAGGGGGAGACTTTACCAAGAGCTGAGGCAGCTTCATAAAAATATACTGCAAATCTTTGAGTTTCAAACATTATCTGACAAAAATGGGAAAACAAATCAAAAACCTACTTCAAGGCAAATTGAAACCAAAGCACATAATACTAGTGGTTTGGGCACTTTCACTTGTGTTTCTGAAAGTCTTTATTTACTCTGACCTGTCCCACGAAGACACAGAGGAAGTGACCAGGGGAGCTCCTTTCTACAGGAAGTTTTAAAGACGATGGATAATGAAGTGGTTTAGAGACTCTGAAGAGACTAAAACTATGGAAAGGAAACTTATTTCCTATCTTACTGTGTTTGGGATGTTCACAGGAAGCGATGCAAAGGAAGAAAGAGTGTTTGAGCATCAAGCTAATGGCAGAACAAGAAGCGGTTTTATTTCGTCAACAGTTACTGGCTCTGAGGCAGGCCTTGGCCAGGGCTCAGGCTGACAACGTGAGGATGCGCAAGCAGCAGGACAACCAGGTATGAGTCCTAGAACCCCTCTTCCTCCCGCTCTCTGAACTCACTCTGCAGAGCTGAATGTGGCACTGGAAGCAGCACCAGGCTGCCTGGGACCAGTCACCAGGGCTCCACAGCGTGAGGCTGAGCACATGGCACAGTCAGACAACCATGGCCCACTTCCTTCTTTCTGGCCCAGAAACCAAGGAAAGAGGCCAAGAGGCTTTTGTTTTTATTTGCATTTGGCTAAGGCAAGGAAGTACTACTCATACAAAAGATCGTTCTTTGGCGTGTAGTGTGTATGTGTGCGTGTTTCTCTGAGAATCTTATTACCCAGAGGTCATCTTGGGGTGTAGGTCTCTGCCCTTAACACAGTCTTTCCATCTCCAAGCATACTTTCCATCAACAGCAACCATGTGCACGTGGAGTGTGGCCCAGCCATCAATCAACCTTTTTCCCCAAACAGGATCTTTCCTGATGACCCAAACTAAGCCTTAATTTCAGAAGTTACTGCTGCTCAGTAGGGGCTGGCACCAAAACAAAGGTGTTTCCAAGTCTAAGCTCTTAGTAACTGTGCCAACTCCCTGAGCATGAATGAAGTAGAAAGACCCTAGGTCGAGAGAGAGAGAGAGAGAAGAGCCAAGTTTAAATAAAAGCCTGAGAGGGACGCCTGGGTGGTTCAGTGGTTGAGCCTCTGCCTTCGGCTCAGGGCTTGATCCGGGGGTCCTGGGATCGAGTCCTGCATCGGGCTCCCCACAGGGAACCTGTTTCTCCCTCTGCCTGTGTCTCTGCTTCTCTCTGCATGCCTCTCATGAATAAATAAAAAAAAATCTTAAAAAATAAAATAAATAAGAGCCCAGAAAAGCTGGGCATATTTAAAACATAACATATAATTTGTTCCTTTTAGACCCTACATCCTCCATGACTGTGCACCAAGTGAATGATGGCATTGTAATTATGCAAACTGTAACATCGCCATGCAAATATCATTAGTATTAGTATCATAATTGGGGATGGACCCTCTGATACGGTGCTACTGACTGGAAAAGTTTCAGAACGGAACCAGATTATTACTACCCTTTTCCATCTTTAACTAACCATCTAGAACCTGGCTTCCCCAAAGCTATTTTGGAAGTTAAAACAGAGGCAAGATTAGAACCTCCCTTCTCTACTCCTTGCGTGCATTATGTCACCCCTCCTCCCCAGGCTAACCCTTCCCTGCTAGCTCATGATAAATGCTCAGTGACACTGCAAATGTAGTCTGTGGTAGGTATAACCATGTGGTCAATAAGCGACATAACATACATATTATCATCACCTTTTGGGCACTGAAAGGCCAGATTGTTCGACCCGGTATTGCTGGGCAGTAGCATTACCACTTGCCTGGCTTTTGTTATTTGTTTCAGTTGTTCTTCCACTGACTATTGCCTCCGGGCTTACAGTAAATGCCAAGCTGGCCTAAATCCTGGTAGTCCTGCTGCCTGCCAGCCCAGGACAGAACTGCTGGGCTCCATGACCCCGAGCCCAGGAATACTCTACAGAGTTGTGCCCCTGGGCCCTATGGAGGTTATTACGTTGGGCAACTTCTCCTTCCCTTGCTCAGAGCAAAGACTGTGTGCCTCCTCTGTTTCCTTTGGCCTTTTCCCCACAGGCACAACTGCTGAGAGAGCTGCAACACAGAGTGGCCCAGGAAGCTCGCCACCGGCAACAGATGGATCTAATGAAAACCTCCAGCATGGAGAAGCTCTTGGAAGATGTGGAGCAAAAGAAACAGCACCTGCAGCTCCTTACTGAAGCAGCTGAGAGGGCTTCCAAACTGGGCCAGCTTCAGCAGAAGAGAATTCAGAGAGAACTCCGACAGGTAACTCCAGAGGCAGGTGGTAGCCATTCAAAGCCAATCGGGGTGCAGCAGCCAGAGCTGGGGCCTTCTTCTGGAATTCTCCATGCCCCTGGTGTCCTCCACCTTTGTCATTTCTGGGCCCACCAGGATAATGGAAATACTGCCCACGCTGGGTGATGCTCGGGCTGCTTATAGTAAGAGAGGATGGATGGCTTCGCTGTCTCAAGGCCCAGAATCTTGGCACCTTTATAACCCACATGAAAAACGTGTTTCCACTTGGCCATAATTTTTGAACCAGGGATCCTTTAGAAAATTCCAATAGTAATCTGGAAAAGCAGCAAGTATCATGGAAGCTATTATAAGAGGATTTTATTCAAGGTGTTTCTGGAACTTCAGAGACAAAAAGGAAAGGTAAAAGTGATTTCCAGACACAATACATTTTTTAAATACACCCCTACAGAAAAGAAAAGAGAGAGAGAAAAGAAAAAAAAAAAGAAAAGAGCAAGAAATAATAGATGTAGATGTGGATTAATGCAAGTTCCAACAAAGGAGATCATCGAATGTAATCCAATACAAAAGGCAAAAGAAGTAGCATCTCAGAGCAGGTACCTCTCGTGCATTCACTGAAGGGATAAATCAATTAATTCATCAGAGATATTAGGAAACAGAAGTTGGAAAGTTAAATTATTGGCCAAGTGTTTCGAGTGCTCAAGGAGGAGATCAATTAGGAGAAATCTACAAAAATAAATGGCAAAAATAAAAAAAGGACAAAAACTGAGGCAATGCTAGAGGAAATATTTTTGAAGAAATGGAGAGGAAAAACCAATAGCTTTAGAATAAAAGAAAATTAGGATTTCACATCATTTTATGAAAACTAAGCTAAAATGTGACATGAATCCTTAAGAAAAATTAAGTGTCGCATATTTATCTTTCAAATTACGCTTTCCCAAAAACCAGCACAAAAATAAAGTGTTGGGGGCCCCTGGGTGACTCCATTGGTTGAGCGTCCAACTGGATCTCAGCTCAGGTCTTGATCTCAGGGTCATGAGTTTGAGCCCTGCATTATTTATTAAATAAATAAATACAATGTTAGTTTCTCAAAGTCCTCTCTAGTTAACAGCTCATTTTTGTCTAATGGTAGAGATTCTGAAAGTAGACAAAACAAGTATTTTGAGGCTTCTCTCAACAGATACATGTTTTTAGTATATGTATGTAAGAACAATCATCGGCTATTTCTACACTACCTCTCCACCTCTGCTGGTAGCTCCAATGCCCCTGGGCTTACTGGCCCACTGCCCACCAACTAACAATCTACCCTCAGCCCCCAAGAGCCCCTACTACCCACAGTGACTTCTTCAGTCCAGCTCCAACCTCCAATTCCAAGGTAAGATTTTGACCATCTGACCTTGGAGAGCATAATTGTCCTTGCTTACGTCCTGCTCCTGGGGAGACCATTTAGAGCAGAGGCCCTAGAGTCAGGCTTTCTGATTCACTCCGTGGGGCCCTTCACAGCATGCCTTTAGGCAAGATGTGGTCTCTCTGTCTTCAATCTCCCGGTTGGTGCAATGGAAAACAATATACTCGTTTCACGGGATTTTTTTAGAAAGATGAAATCAGGTAATTCAAATGAGGCACTTAGAACCAAAACCGATATACAGCTCTTCATAAATATTGGCTGTATGTCTTCTAGCTGAGAGTATGAAGGTGGATAATTTTGGAAAGAGATTGACCTGGATTCAAATCCTGACTCTGCCTCTAACTGATTGTAGGATCTTGGGTAAATCACTGCACCTACCTCTGTGAAGGGGGGTGGGGTCGGTTTTAAGCCCTAACACAACACAAGGTCCTTACTAAGCACATTTCTTTCCTTTGCCACTATTTTTCAAATTGGTTTAGCCCCAGCCTGGCTCAGGGAATCTTGATATGTTTTTCCTGGTTCCTGCCCATAGCGGTTGAAGGGCCTACACCAATCCCTGTAGTACAAACAGGGACCTTGGGTCTAATTTGTATTAGGAAGTTTTTCTAATCTTCTACTGAGAGTTAAACTACAGTTGATGGCATCTGCACACACAAGAAACTGCCCCTTAACATTTGTAAGACGAGCCTGTGGTTACCCCTCCAAGGGTTCACAGGCCTTCTTGTTGGGTCTATGCAGACAAGAGTGGGATTTAAAACACATGTGGCTGAATTCTTGAGATTAGCATGTGGATTAGTTTGCTAGAGCTGCTGTAACAAATTACCTCAAACTGGATGGCTTAACACAACAGAAATGTATTCTCTCACAGTTCGGGAGGCCGGAAGCCTGAAATCAGGATGTCGGCTCCTCCTGGGGACTCTGGTCTGTCCTGTGCCTCTCTCTTAGCTCGTAGTGGCTGCCTGTAGGCCTTGACAATCCTTGGTTTGTAACTACGTCACTCGAACCTCTGCCTTCCTTATCTGATGGCCCTTTCCCCATGTGTCCCTCTGTGTCTGAGCCCTTTCCTCTTCTTATAAAGGCCTCAGTCACTGTATGTAAGGCCCGCCCTTAATCCAGTATGACTTCATCATAACTTAATTACAGCTGCAAAGACCATTTCCAAATAAGGCCACATTTTGAGGTTCTAGGTGGACATGAGTATATTTTTTTGGGGGGGGGCATTATTCAGTCCACTATACTATTATTTCTCTTTTATACTGTAAAATTTTATAATACAATTATAATTACATTACTTTTATACTTTTAGGTAATTTTTATAATTACTTGCTATGACCTATATAAACTTACACTTATATACATAAAAATAAATTTCAAAAGAAAGAATATCTGTGATTTATGCAGATGAGGTGTACTTTGGATCCAGCTATTCCCTGGCTGGGGGCCTAGGGGCCAGCTGTGCTAGCCGAGGGCCACACAAGTAAACACAGAGACCACCTCTTGGTAGGGGCCTCCTCTAAGGCCTGGGGAATGGTGCTCAGGACATCCTTGAAGATGATGAGCTGAACAAACAGAGATCAGGTCTTCCCCCTGCGTGAAACTGTGCAGAGGCTCCCCCCTTCCCTGTGGTAGTTTGGTGGCTTTGACCTACAAGGTCCTCTGTGAACTGGGCCCTTCTCCATTTCCTCCTCTCCCCTTCCCTCTGGTGAAATAAACATAAAAGAAAGAAATGTTGTGAGTAAACTCCTGGCTATAATAAGGCCAATAAGGGGTTCCCAGTCCAGGGCTGCCTCCGCTCCTCTTTGGGTACGTTCCTGGCCTTCTTGGGGCTGCCGTTAGAAGCCTGACCAGGACTGTATGAGGACTAGTATTCCTGGGGCAGCCTGGACCCACACTCTCCAAAGAACCCCAGGAATTAAAGTATGCACCAAAAGCATCTCTGCTTCCTAAGCACTTTTCCCCTCAGACGAGAAGCCGGCTGGCCCAGGAGCGCAGTGTGAAGCTGGATGCCTTCCAGCGCCTAGAAGAGCTACAAAGTCAGCTTAATGACGCTGGGCCATCGTCCGTCCAGATGAGCTCACCAGGCGGTAAGCAGGTGCCCTACTCTGAATTGAGGAGGATCGTGGCGACTAGCCGTAACAGCCCCGTGGCTATTGAGTTATTGGTTATTGAGCTCCCTGACGTCTGTTGAGTGAATGAATGATACATGAATGAATCACACTTAATTCTGATTTGCAGTCACGACCTTCTACTCTAGTTCACCTCAGAGCACTGACATCCTATACTAAAAAGTTTTGGTCATAAAAACTGGTCTCAGAAGTATGTAATACACCACTTAAAGAACATTGGGCAATTCACTATATTTTGTCTTAATGCCTCAGGACATCAGTGACCACATTTCTCAGATGTTATTTAGAAAGGATATTATGATGCTTGGGTGCTGGGGGCGGGAGGCGTCCTATGGGAATGGCACCGAAACACGCCTCTGGGCAAGCAGCACAGAGCAGAGGCCAAACCCAGGATGTCTCTAAACTAGCTGCCTCCCCTGTAAGTTGAGGATGAAGTAAATTCTAAGTTCTCTTCTAGATCTGACTATCAAAAATATCATCAAATATCAATAATCACAACTGACTTATTGTTAAAATCAGCCAAGCCTCTGCTTTCCCATTTTGGTAAAGCCTGGTGGTTAAGTGTGTGAGCTTTGGTTCAAATCCTGGCTCTGTCACTGCAAGCTGTGCGACCTTCGACAGGTTAATTTAGCCTTTCTGTAAAATGGGAATACCTACTTCAAAAGGGTATTCTGAGGATTAAGTGAAATGATGCACATCTGCCACATAGTATAAAAACACCAAATATTTGTGCAAATGTTGGTTACTGCACTTCCATGCATGTGTGTCCTTTATGTTTGCTTTTGGCTCTGTGCCAGTTGAAGATACAAGAAAACACAGCCTCTCGGAAACAGAAAGATCAGTGTCAAAGGTCAAGTAGACAAAGATGGAATTACTTTGGCTTTACTAAGAACAGGCCTGGGGGGGACACCTGGGTGACTCAGTCAGCTTAACGTTCAACTCTTGATCTCGGCTCAGGTCCTGATCTCAGGGTCCTGGGATCAAGCCCCATGTCGGGCACCACCCTCAGCATGGAGTCTGCTCGAGATTCTATCCCTCACCCTCTGCTCCTCACCCGACCCATTCTCTCTCTCTCTCTCTCTTTTTCTCAAATAAGTAAATAAAATCTTAAAAAAAAAAAAAAAAAAACAGAAAAAGAAAGACCAGGGCTGAGCTCATCTGTAAAGCCCAGGGCTCTTCTTCCTGACTCTGGGCCTGCTGCCTGGGACCTGACAGCAGGGCTGAGGTTCCCCACCTCAGCTGCCCTGTCCAAAGAGAAAAAATATCAAAAATATCCAAGGGCCCTATTTTGGCCACTGACCCTGAGCAGTTCTGTACCTTGTACTCTCCTTTCCACGCTCCCTGGGATTTTTCTGTCTCCCCCTCTTCCCTCTGCCTCCAGTCCAGCCAAGCATCTTTTTAAATAAGTAAGTTCTACCCAAGGTGGGGCTTGAACTCACCACCCTGAGATCAAGAGTCACATGCTCTACCAAATGAGCCAGCCAAGCATCTTTTTAATCTCTTTCTGGGTTAATGTGTCCTTTCAAACTGCCATCCATGTCCTCCAACAACTGCACATTTTAGGAGGGAGAAGCAGAGCGAGGCACCAGACAGGTAGCGGGGTGGAACCCTAATACCCAGGACTGGGGATGTGGCAGGAGTGGAGGAAAAGCCTCTTTCCCTGGAAGCAGAGCTAGTTCTTCCGAAAGCCCAGCCCCCATCTGTCTCCCTCTGGGTGACAGGATGAGATTGATGGAGGACTCCCTATGCATGGATTCATTAGAGGGGAGGGACTGGGTCACACCTGTCTATTAGTACCCAGCCTCCAAGGGGATAGCCAGGTACCACCCTAGAGTTGGAAAAGGCCAAAGTCAGCCATTCCCACTCCGCTCTCAGTTGTTGTCCAGCTGAAAGCATGAGGTGCCCGAGGTCTCTCCTTTCTGTAGGAGTGGAAGCAGCAGCCACCCCTCTCCTCATCTCAGAAGCATCAAAGGCAAAGGCAGGGTTTAGGGGCGAGCTCTCTTTACTCGGCATCAGCATGGATTCCCCTTAGGATCTTGCAGCTCCTGAGACACTAGAACATGTTCTTGTGCAGTTGTGCTTAAAATAGTTAAGGGGGAAAAATGAAATCACTTGGCTGACAAAACTGTGAAATGTTCAGGGGTAGACTGGCTTAAGTTCGCTTGATCTGGGTTTGATGTTTATCACCAGGACTAATTCTCTCTCTCTCTCTCTCTCTCTCTCTCTCTCTCCATCTCTGGGCTCTAAGAATGCTGGGAGCAGAGAGGAAGTGGAGGTCCTTGGGAAGCAAGATGATTGCCACTGCTATGGCTGCTACCCTCTGTTCCAGCTCTTGGGTGGGAGTCATTGCGGGGGTGGGGCAGTTAAAAAGAATCAGCCTCAGACTCGGCAAGTTTGAACAAATCACAAAAGCCAGAGACTATGATGCTCAGGGGTCTTAGAACCAGCTCACATGTGCCTCCCCTTGAGCAGAGGATAGGGTCAGCTCACTCTCTCCTCTTCCCAGCAACTATTTAAAATCTTCCTGGTCCCTTCAGACCTTTGGATTCTGTCCTCCTCCCCAACCAACACTTTACCTCCAGTTTCACAGAACAGTTAAAAGCCATCAGATCGGAACCCCCACCCCCCACCCCGCTCTATTTTTTGACCCCAGCCCACCTGCACTAGCTACTCAGCTGCTTCTCTGTCCCTCCTGATAAGATGGAAAAGGTGCTCCTTTTCTTTCCGGCCAATCCCAATGCATGGGATCCCATTTGATCCTACTTTTTCAGGGTCCTTGAACTACTCTTTAACGGTTTTCTCTTTACATACTTATATTTCCCACTTATATCTACCCTTCTAATCTTGTTACCATTATTTATTGAGAATATAGGTGCCAGGATCATAAAATCCACCATAAAATAAAATTAACATCTATCCAGTTGCTTGAGCCAGCAATCTGGGAGCTATTCTTTGTCACCCTACAAATCCAGTTAATTACCAAGTCTGATTAATTTGAATATCTCTGTCCACTCCTACCCACCATAGTCCGTGTCACCCATTATATCCTTCTCTTTCACTTGGTTATGTGATCCTCAGGCTAAAGATTCCATCCAGGTTTTGACATCTTCACTCAGAATTGATGAAGCTGGATAAGATGATCATTTTAAGCTCTAAAGTTTTGTGAATTAAATCTAAGACCGTACACTACAACCAGAGATATAATTTAACATTTTTTGGCATCATAGGCCTTACACCTCGGGCTCAGTACTCCCTACGTTCTGCTCCCACGTCATCCAGATACTCCCAGCAACACCTTTTAAAGACTAATCTTATGAGCAGTAAAATACCAAGAAGGATTCAAAGGCCAGACACTGTAAGTAATGATAGATTTAATTATATATGTGAAGTAATGAAAAAATGTAAATATGAAATTATGGTTTTAGGTTCACTTCAAAATTACATTAAAAATTATGTATCAGGCTCTTATCTAGATACTTGGGTCTAGATAATAAAATTCTGGATTTGTCACAAAGGCAATTTGTTTGTGAATTATTGCTGAACCAATGTGTTTGTGGGAAGAAGGATGGTCTGGGGTTTCCCACTCTGCCATCTTGCTGATGCTACTCCTCAATAATAGAATTCTGAGGTCGAAACAATTCGGCAGAAAAGCACTTACTCAATTACATTAAATAAATGAATGTGGAAGTGAGTATCCACATCTTGCTGTGTTCTGTCTCTGAATTTCTTCTTTTTCTCCCATCATCTACAATAATTAACTAACAGCACCAGATCTCTCATCTGAGTTCCCTGGCAGAGCAGAAGTTGCAGAAGTCTTTTTAAAAAACATGTAAGAAATCTACCCACCAAAGAAATTCTTGGGACTCAGATTAGGTCAAGGTATAGCACATATTTAAAAAATTGTTTTCAATATTTCAGCTTTTAGTTTAGGTAAAACATTTACAAGCTCTTCCACTGCCTTCTCTGTGCTACTTTGATAAGTATTACCCATTGTTTTTCAGAATCTCTTCTAGAAGTTCATGTCAACACATTTAAGAATTCCTGCCTCTTGCTTTGAGAAAACTTAAAAGGAAAATATTTAATCATATTGCCAGAGAAACTATGCCAATTCTTGGTCTCTTTTGAGGGTGTAATTCTGCAGCCGATAGTCTAGTTATTGGACCAAAAAAATGTCGCAGTATTTCTGAACATGCAGTTAAGGAATCATACACAGAAAGGGAAGAAACAGGTCAGGAACATCCATTTGAGGTTCTTCACCAAGTAGGACCACATTATTTTTTTTTTAACTTTTTTTTTTTTTATGATAGTCACAGAGAGAGAGAGAGAGAGGGGGGCAGAGACACAGGCAGAGGGAGAAGCAGGCTCCATGCACCGGGAGCCCGACGTGGGACTCGATCCCGGGTCTCCAGGATCGCGCCCTGGGCCAAAGGCAGGCGCCAAACCGCTGCGCCACCCAGGGATCCCAGGACCACATTATTAATACCTGCCATTTGCTTGACTCACCAATCCCTGTGCAGTCACCTTTCACCAAAAGGTGAAATTCTAGTACATGTCTGTTTGTTTCTGCTAACGCCTTTTCCAAAAGGAAGCAATATTCAGTTGGTGTGTATGGGACCACAAGGGCTTATAAGATTCACTCCATCCCCATTCCACTCCCAAAAGCAAATGTTGCTCTTATGGGGCTGGTTGGCAGTCACAACTCATGGTTGAGAAGGCTGCCTAAGTAGCTAAATGCATTTGAGGAGCTCCACTGTATTTGAAAGATTTAGAAGGGTGACGGTCTAAACAAACTCTAATAAATAAGGGGACATTTTGTGGGCCCATTGGATTGTGTATAAAAACCCCAAGCAAAAAGCCTAAGGACCAGGAAAGGCACAAAAGAATTGGAGCCTCTTCAAATCTATCTAAGCTCTGACTTCTCAAGAAAGGCCTATAAGACAAATCAGATAAATACAGACTGAAGAGGAATTTATACGTGGCTGGAATGTAAGACCACCAAAGAAACAAAACACTGCACTGACCCAAATGATAAAATATTAAGGAATTTTTAGATTACTCCACATATGGGATATCTTTTTTCCTTAGATGAAAATGGCTTTCTGTTGAAAGATTTAATTTGTGACCAGTTCCCTTTATGACAAGTGGCAAATACAAGAAGGCACACTAAATGGCCTAACCCAGACTGTGCCAAAGATCTTGGTCTTATGAGTAACAGTGACTTTTAATGATATCTCCAATATCTATTTAATTTTTATATTGCAGGTACCTATCAAGCACCAAAAAAGGACGGACAGCATCTTTCTACCTAATGTAGCAGAAAATGTTCAACGTTCAGCTTTTCAAGTCCACACAGCTCCATCCATAATCCCACAAGGACCTGACTGGTAATCATATGTCCTTTTCCACATTTTATTTCTTTGAGCATTTGAATGAATAAAAATGATTCTAACCTCCATTAAAGTTTAGCTAATTTTTATTAGTAGTACTATGAAGATAGTGTGGAAGGACTGAGATGATTATATCCTTGAATGTCCCAAGTGAAGTAGGGTTTGGCCCTAGGTTTTAAGACCTAAATGTTGATTTGCACTTCTACAACCTAAGCCTTGCCTTTGGTCAACAACAACCTCTCATTATGGGTTCCCAATTACTGATGAGGTGTGTGAGCCAGGAGAGAGGGCATTGCTGCTAAGCAGTATTTATTAGTAAGTGAAAAACCAGAACAGATTAATCGAAGTAAACTTCAGAGCACTTATTTCTATTTGTTTCACTTAAGAGCATCATCCTCTCTTGGGGGTCCTAGGTGTTCAGTTGGTTATGTGTCTGTCTTTGGCTCAAGTCGTGATCCCAGGGTCCTGGCAATCAACCACCACATCAGGCTCCCTTCTCCCCCTGCTTGTGCTCTCTCTCTGTCTAATCAATAAATAAAACCTTAAAGAGAGAAAGAACATTTTCCTCTCCTAATAGTTTTTTAAAATTCTTTCCACAAATACTGACTTTTATAAAGTCCTAATCCAATTTTTTTGTTCAGACAAGAAAATGTATCCTGGGTAAAGGAATAAATAGGTAGATGAATGGAGCAGAACAGACCAGAGAAACATTTTCATACATAAATTTGTATATGATATATGTAGCTTTTCAAATTAAGGATAAGGTTGAGTCTATTTGAAGTAGAATAAATTATTACCTTACACTATACACAATGAGTTCCGAACAGATTCAAGATCTATATGCACATACACATGCACGTAGACATACACACAAACTTATTTCTGAAATAGAACATGAAAAACAAAAGCCGAGATAAGACTGATGACTTTGATATCAAAGCTGAAAATTCAGCCTGACAAGGTATGGTGCCCGTTATTAATTTGTGCCTCTCAGCTCTAAACTCATCCTTGTCAGCTGTGATATGATTAATATAGACCCTGTAAATATTTCTTCTTTGCCAATTGCAAGATTTTAAGCTTTGTCAGTAGAGAGTACTGGAGAGACGCTGGAGAAGGAGGAAGGGTTCCTTTTCCAGGTTCTGGGGGTGCTCCTCTCAGCAGGCTCCCGCAGTGTATAGGGCTTCTGCAGCACCAGGTTTCTGTGCGTGCACGCACAGAAGTGCATGCAGCCTCAGGGGGAGGGTCACTGGCACGGCACCTTTTGTGAAGGGCTTTCTCCTTCTGCTTCTCCTTTTGTGAGGGCTGCTTCACAGCCTCAGTGAACTTCTTTGCATCCAGTGAGCCTTGGTCACACCCTATCCAATGAGGTCACACCCTTTCCAATGGATGTCAGCTCTGGAAGGCAGTGGCTGCTCACTAAATCTGCTCTCCCTAGATTCTTCAGAGCTCTCTCTATTGCTTACCAGCCAATCCTCCCATTACTTCAATCCCTTGGTATAGTTAATAATATTAAACTTTCTCACAGTTTGATTACTGTGTTGTTTCTCTTAATTGGCCCATGAGTAATACAGAACTGATACCAGTAGTGGAGTGGTCCTAGGGGACAGACTCACAAAGATGGGGTTTGAGGATTTGTTTGGTTGCACTGTTGGGCTTGAATACAGTGCTGAGCTCCTTAACAATTAGAAATGGAATACTAGTGATCCTTTGGCATGACAATTAACCAAACTATCACCCATGTGATGATGATTGTGATGAAGTACCTACTGAAGCATGTGCCTTGGGAGCCTAAATTGCTACTACACTGACTCTAATGGCAATAATGATGATCATAAATACTGGGATGTGGGATGGACTTTCTTGCATGCACTTTAGGACTAACAGAAGAAAATGACAAACTCTGGACCTTTAATTCTCAGCTCAGATCATGGTCTGAAAACCAGAGAACTTCCACAAGTAACCTTGAAAAAAGTCTCTTATTTCTTGTAGTCACAGGGGTAATACTGTTAGAAATCAAGTACAAATTTTAATTATGCAGAAGGCTAACTTACAACGACAGTCAAAATCACAATCTTGTTTCTCATGGCTGTTGAGATGGGCTCTCTCATTTCAATGGTCATGATGTGATCCTAGAATAGCAGAAAGTAACTACCAAGGACAAGGTGGGCATGTTTATCATAAAGGGCATTAGGGACATATCAGCAGTCAGATTATAGATTATAGATTTGGCACATAGAGATCTTTGGTGATTAATGTGTCCCTCCAAATGAAATTGTATAGGCAGCCAACGAGAATATCACTTGATCTATATAACCGGAAAAACTCTGGTAGCCAAAATTTGGCTCGAGTCAGCAGAGAAGAGAGTCATAATCTCTCACTGGGATTCCATACCTGAGTCAATTCACAGACCAGGGCCCCTTGACCACATTAGAGGCTGGATCCCTTTGAGGAAGGACCCTGCAGGTATAAATCATAAATCTTCTTCCAAACATTTTCCTAAGAGATCTGTAATTATTTGCTAGAGTTACTGTTCATCAGAGAAAAAGAAATATCCAGACCGTTTGGAGAAGAATAGGCACTACCTCTAAATTAATTATAATTCCTAGGAACCCAAAGGGGCCTCTGGCTGGCTCAGTCAGTATAGCCAGATCATGGGACTCATGATCTCAGGGTCATTAGTTCAAGCCCCACATTGGGCATGAAGCCTTCCTAAAAAATAAAACTAACTCCTGGGAACCCAAAATATGTTCTAGCTCACCAGTCAAAATGAAGGCATACAGTGAGGTAATAGAAGGAGTCTCAGGTTCAAATTACAGTGGACCCAGTTGATCCATGGACTCACCATGTGGTTATTTCCATAGTTCTTGACTGTATAATTGGAATAGACAACAATTAACAACTGAAAAGACTCCTGTATTGGCTTTCTAACCCACGAGTTAAAGGCTCATTATTGTAGAAGAGATAATTGCAGACCCCTGGAACTTCCCCTTTCAGGAAAGTAAACTGGAAGCAATATTATGTCCCTGGAGAAATTGCAGAGATTAATGCCACCATTAATGCAACTTAAAGGAAACAAGGGTGATGATGCCTATCACATCACCACTTAAATCACTACTTTGGCCCGTGCAGAAAACAGGTGGATCTTGGGAAATGACTAGGGACTATCAGGTTCACATCTTAATGAGGTAGTGATCCCAATTGCAGCTGGCATCTCAGATGTAGTATCTTTACTGGAGCAAATGAATATCCTCCTGGCATTTGTTATGCAGTTGTTCACCTAATTTATGCCTTTCGATCCATAACAAATTGTAAGGGCCATGAAGAGCAGTTTGCTTTTACCTGGTAGGGCAGCAGTGTACTGTCGAAGTCTCACTTTAAGGCTTTGTCCATTCTACTCTCTGCCATGATATAGTCTGTAGAGGCCTTGATCATCATGATATTCTACAAAAATCACATTGGTCCACAATGTTGATAACATAATGCTGATTGGATATGAGTAGGAGGTAGTAAATACGTGCCCGAATAACACATATGAGAACTAGAAGGTAAAAGACAAATTCCACAAAAATGTAGGGCCATTAACCCCAGTGATGTTTCTGGGGGTTCAGTGCTTTGGATACATGTTAAATATCTCCCTCTAAGGAGGAAGGTTGTTTCAGCTCATACTATAATACCACGAAAAAAGGCATGATGCTCAGTAGGCTTTTTTGGATTTGAAGGCAACGTGTGCCATATTGAGTTTGCTGATTCAACCCACCCACCCAGTTACCTATAAGATACCAACTTCGGGTGTGGCCTAGAGCAAGAGAAAGCTCTGTCATGAATTTGAGTTACAGTATAGCTGCTCTAGTAGGTCCTATGTTCCAACAGAACCCGTGATAGTAAAAGTGTCCTGGCGTGTATGGAGCCTTTGTCAAGCAGAAACCCTAGGATTTTGGAGCAAATCTATGCCCTCTTTTGAAGATAACTATTCTCCTTTTGTGCCTTGTAGAGACTGATTACCCAACCATGGGATGGGTGGTGAACGGGTAGCCTGGTTCGGGTATAGGAGAATCTACCCAGTTATAAACGTGAGCATACACGGCAGCAATCTATCATCAGTGGAGACAGTCTACAGTCAACTTGCCTGAGCAGTTCTGAAAGGTATCGATAGCTTCCATGAACATGTGGCTCGGACTTTCAACACCAACTCTTGTTGTGTCCTCTTCCTCAGTCAATACTCTGGCCTGGGGTGTTTCTAACAACTAGCTAGCCAAGCAATAAAAAATTATAGACAAGTCTGTAGGATTTATTGGATCCACCCAGAAGTGGACAGCTGCAACAGCATGCTCCATTTAGGAGCAAATCTAAATAAAAGGGGCACAAGATCTTCCCCGTGAGAATAAGTAGTACATTTGGTTGTCCGCTGTGTCTGAGCTGATACATGGCCAGAAGTACAAATCCACACTAATTCTTGAGTAGTTGCTAATGGTTTAGGTTGGATAGTCAGGGACTTGGGAGAAATAGTAAAGGCCCATGACAAGTAAATGTGGAGAAAGGTGTGTGGATGGATCTCAGAATGGGAACACACTGTGAAGATTTCCGCATCTCACGTCACCATAGGGCATCTACAGGAAAAGAGGGCTCTTATTAATCAGGTGGATAAGATAATATACTTGATGGGTGTCAGTGTCATTCCCCAGCCAAGCCGGTGCTTGCTCAATGAACAGCGTGATCATGATGGCAGGGCTAGAGGCTACACATGGGCTCAACAAGATGGATGTCCCCTCACCAAGGCTGGTGTGCACTACTAACAACTGCCTAAGCTGTCAAGAGCCGGAACCTATACTGAGGCTGCAATATGGTGTCAATCTCATGGGTAATAGACATCCATGTGATGGCAATTTGACTACATTGGGCCTGTTCCATCATAGAGAACAGAGATTCACTTTTGTAGAACACACATTCCGGATATGGTCTACAGTTTCTCCCAGCACTACCTGATGCACATGCTCACAGAAT